TTCCAGGAAAAAAGTGTTGAAAAGCAACGTGTAACCAAATTTGCTATTACCTCCTTTCCAGGTGGTCAGTGACGCTTTTCTAGACTAAGTCAATGATGGTGTGGCTGGCGGAAAAACTATTTCGAATAACAAATGAATTACTGGTTCTTATTCATCATTACATGAGCTATTAGGACGAGCTACTACGCTGACCGGCCGATCGTAGGAACAATAGGTACCGTAACGATAGGTAGAGATCGTCAACTCGAACGCCACTCGTGCACACATCGTCGGGTCACCAACGAAACTGACAGCAAACCAGCAAAAGACTAGCTAACCACAAAAGGCAACAAAGCATACACGATGCTCTAAAATAGGCAAGTTTTAGTCAAAATACCACAATTTGCAAAGCCAAGGTACACCGGAGGCCTAAGCACGTGAAGTCTCGGGTGAATGTTTTACATTATTAGATGAATCTTTCAGCAGTAAAGTCCGATCTGCGTAATGCATAAGCCCTTAAAATTAAAAAAATGCACCATGGGCAATCAAGGATATGTGCCTTGGCGTCTTCCCAAGTCCCAGTTAAATAACTCAATCAACTGCCTGAGTCGAGTTCGTGTACTGTGGTTTAAACACGATAATTCTTCGATAAAATATTTCAACTTGTGTTTCTAGAGTTCAAAGCTAACCGTGTATGTTCGTTATTATAATTTGATAAACAGCATTTACCTACGTGGCGCGGTATGGTAGCCTCTTGTTAATTTTAAATAGCTCATATGTGTTACAAAAAACATCTATCGATTCAGTGCGTCAGTAACATCTTTCAGTGAATGCACCTAATTTTATAGTTAATTTACTAAGTGGAGATAATTAACTTCTCCCGAGCGCATGAACACTGATAATTAGACATTTTTAGAGGAGCTTATGAGCGAAAATAAGACTTCTCATCGTTCCGGCTTGTATCATTTGAAATTCATTAATATCATTGAACAAAGAAGTAAAACACAGTATTTCTATGTTCCGAACTACTTGAAAAGCTGATTAGTGTTCGTTCTGACAAAGCTGAGGTCCTTCTGTCCAGAAATAATATTTTCATTAGATATCACTTTAAGGCAGGTTTATTTAAATATAAATATTAGGTGTTCATTATCTTGGATTTTTGGTGCTTGTTCGACCCTTGACCCGCAATGCCTTATAGCTTCTGGCTCTATAATCGCTTAAAAGCTGTTAAATGCGATCAGCCGTGTAGCTACGCAGCCTGCATGTATCCTTGCGGCATTGTCAACATAAGCCGATATTTTTCCTATAAGAGACATCTCTCCCTTTCAAGCCAGGCCCTTATTTCGCGCTTATTTCATAGGGTCATGCTGATACTATTGTCTATTTGAGCAGAAATTGAACATGTTTCAGAGAACAAACATGAAACTTTTGAACGTCGCCAACTCTCGGGGGTTTCCATCAAGACGGGCTTCTTAGAGCGTTTCAATAATGCCTTGCGGCACAAATCGCGCCCTTGGGAGTCTTAATAAAACTTTCAATAAGTTCCAGGCATGAACTGTGAAAACATACAGTGTTAGATCTTCGAGAAAGTTCTGTACACGAAAGATTCCATTTCGATTTAAGAAGATTACCTTATTCTTGCACTGGCTTTTTGTTATCATTTCATTTCTAATATCAACATAATAACTAGTCAATAAGTAATAGCTTATCGTTTAGTAATGCGTGATTTACGACTCCGCGAGCACCACTCATAAAGCACGGAAATAAAATGAATGCTACTTGAAGATCCTATAATTTAGACGCAAAAATATCTCATTCGTGTTAGAAGTAAATGACATATGTAGAGATGAAAAATCTAGAACATATAATATACTTGTCCTCTGTTATATTTATAAAAAATAGATCTCCTTCACCAAGAGAAAATCCGCAGAGGCCCGCCTCTTTGGAAGCTCAATAAACAGTTCGCAATAGAATCGTAACGGTGTATAAACAGCTTTAGCATTCATACTACCTGGACGCAGGGCACATACAGAGAACTACTTTTCCTCGTAAAAGTTCTCTGGAACTAAACGGGACAGCATCAAAGCTCTATTACTTCCATCGACTGCGTATACAAGACTTATATATAGTTCTTGATCCAGATGCAGGCCCGCAAGGAGTCTTCCATGAATACACTGAGAGACTCAACTGCTAGCGATATGAAGAGACAAAACATATCCTATACCGGCGTTCAAAACATCCCTATAAAGCTTTGAATGAGAGTTCGTTTGGCCAATGACTTTGAAATATGTTCAGTAATTACCGCATGCATTCAATGAAAGGCAACCTTAGAAAAAGCACTTAACATGAGGTGAGGAATGTAGCTTTAACGGAAAGTTCCACTAGCGACAATGCCTAGATAAATATGTCTGCTCGGACCAGATCAGCATGAGCAGCGATAGCGCGTAGCAGTTGCACTCCCTATACGCTCTGTTCAGTGCCATCTGTGGATCAACAATTTTCCCGTTGGGATAGCGAGGAAGTCCGCTGAACGAAATTCCCAAAGAACAAAGCCGCCAGCTTTTATCTGTGGTGTCCTACGGCAAAGAAAAACGCAATCTATACATTTCCTCTCAGTTCTCCGATGCACCTCCTCCAGAGCATAGAGAAACCTTCAGTCTCTTCTCAGGGGAACTGCAGAACGGCCTTGCAATGGCTGTCTGTTTAACCCTACTGAACATAGTGTATCGTCGTCCAGTTTTAGCTTCGTTCTATTCTCCGTATACATTTTCGACATCTATCAAAGCAGATTATAGGAAACCTGCAGCAATCACGTGCCGTAGCTCGCAGAGTTATGTAACCACGACCGGCGATCCATGTTCTAAAAGAGTTTCGAGAGGGTGCTACCCTTGGAAATAATGACTCATTTCGTGTCAGGGTACCTAATATCGAACTTCACTTTTGTTACCTGGGTACCACTACTATCCACGGTCAAACTTATGGACAAAGTTCAAGGAGCAGAGTTCTGAGCGAGCCGCGAAACTGTTAGCTACGGTAGAGATGCAATATGGTGGAATATTAAAAAAAAAAAACAGTCATTTAACATGTTGATGTGTAATGCAAATTTTTCTCTCAAACTATACGTTTGAAAAAAATTACGCACTGGAAGGGAACTAGGAAGCCTTGGGATGTATACTAATCAGCCAGGTTTGGATATATAAGTAAACTTATGCTAATTCAGTTTGCAAATTGTCAGCTATAAGCTAGTTCTTACCCTATTAGTATAAAAATGCCTATCTTTAAAGTTTTTAAGCGTAAAAAAGTAATTTGTTACATTTTCGTTTAAGATTGTCCGGCTTCAGCGTTCCATTCGAGGTTCCAAATGCTGGTATTTATATCTAATGGTTATCGATTGTCCGATATATCATAGATATAGAAGGATTTGTTGGCCAATTTATTCAGTGAATGAACAGTGAAAGAAGTTAGCTGGACTTCATCTAGAGCTATATCGTCGTAGATGAAAATATATGGAGTCTCTTGCTCAGTTTGGATTACTCTGTTGTCCGATTCCAGGCTGGTGGCTCTATACAAACATTACACAGACGATCTTGGCAGTAAAATCGAAATGGATTGGATGGAAGAAGATTTCAAAATTTTTCTAGTATGCAGTTTGTAATTGGAAGAAGTTTGGCAAGAGTTTTATTGATATTGATGGAAGGGATCATTGAAAACGAGTGCAGTGGCTTAGAACGTTAATTTGCATACGTTGATTTTATTCAGGCTGATTTCATTAGTAATACTATTAGTCTGTTGGACGCAACTTTGGCAATCAATAGCCGACCGCATTTTCTTGATTAAAAGTGGCCGTTAGGATAGGTCACGTAAATCCTCCTATTCGTAAGGGTCCCTCGATATTTTCGTTTCGAAACTTTGTTCTGATGCGAGACATTTGTCAGACAGCTTTAAAAGCAATAGAGACAACATAATTGATGATCGTTTTTCGCGCGCAGGCTTAACTTGACAAGCGAACATTATGCTGAAACGACATATCTGACAGTAGTTTAATACCAGAATATTTTGCTCTGCGCTACGACGCAGACAATGCGATTGGCTCGTTAAATATCAGTGATAAGCCTGAGTAACTATTTTTCAATTAGAAACCAGTTCCAGTTACGAACGTACTGTTTTTTTAAATTAAAGCCTACATGCGTGTTGAAACTGGTAATTGAACAACGACACGCAAATGGACAATTGACTTCGCTAACGATCATCTCTATTTAAATGAATGGAGCAATTGAAGGACAACTTCTGAACGCAGTCCCATCATCACACGCTCCCGTAGGCAAAAGTAAAGGTCAAATCGTTCTTGTGTAAATAGACAGCGGCACTGATGTGCGCAAAAAAATTGTTACCATATAATCGAATCCCGCTACTCACTTGGTCCAAGAATCGCTCTAGTCAGAGGACGTGTGCAGGCGAACGTTCGGAAATTATAACATTGCCACCCCATTCGACTTCAGTCGTTCGAAGGGCTACAACAAAGATACCATAAAGGAAATTGGACCTGATTACGTCACCAATAGGTAAACATTGTGATTTGTCGGATTTCTGCCCAGCCACGTATCTTGGGTGTCTCTAGTTGCATTAGAATGCCGGAACAGCGTTCAAACAGTGGAGAGTTTTTTTTTTCTCGGTATTTAAAGCTACCTTTAGAATGAGAGAAGTTCTGGAAAATATCGACCATCTGCAGCTAGCCATAATATCGAGTTTTACATGGAATATTTAATATGGCACAAATCACCGTATGAATAGTTGTAAGTAGAATAGAGGACTTTTATGGGTCTCAACTTGGGTAACTCAGTAACGCATTATTCAGTTCATCTATTTATGAGCATTCAGCCTTTGGCTGAGGGTAACGCATCGTAACTTCGTTGTCGTGAAGTTCTTAATTGAGAGTTCAGCAATGGGCCAAATGGTGTCATTTATAACCACATATAGGATACCCGAGATGTACGGTACAATTTGAACAGTGCGTTCCCGAATCAGTGAGAACTCAATGTATCATAGTATACATGTCTGCGGAAGTTAATCGTGTTAATCACTTGCAACATACAAAGATTACCGGACAGCCTCGCCTTGGTTCCATGACGCTTTCCACAGATAAACTTTGCCAGGCTGAAATTTCTAGCAAGGAATACAATGATATTATACTACTCCCAATGGCGTCCGAGAACTGACTTGTTGGGATAAGCAGCGTAATATTCCGAATTGGATTTAACAAAAGTTCAACGAATAGTCCAAATTGTATCCTTCGATCGTTGAACATTACAAACTGTTAGTCAATAGCCACACGGATCAAATGTAGACAATTTTAAGTTTCGAACCTCAGGTAAGAGCGCTATCGTCTTTTTGATATTGAAGTTTTCATGCTTGTGATACGGTGTCTTCGACTTTATCATAATTAACATTTACCTCTATAGACGTTTCAACCACGCACCAAAGGTGCGCATTTTAGTGCACCGACCACAATTCATCTCCCACAGATGACCTTATGTAAGAATCTGTTTTATGATAGACAAGACGTTATTTGTTGCTATTGGAAGTTATAGAAAAAATAAGCCAAGTCTCATTTGACTTAGGTTATTTTTATCATAGAGATAGAACTGTACATCTAAAATGAAACTGAAATTAATATATAGTGAAACAAAGATAACGTTTTAAGGTTTTGAGGGTTGGTGCTCGTAGAAATCTACGATATTCAAGGGCAAAGTGTTTCGGATGTAACTATTCAAACATTATTGACTAAGCTAAATACTCTATAGGCTCATCTTTAGGACAAATTTCGCTTTTTACCACCGAACGCGCACACTTTGTAGTCCCAGCACGCTGCACAATTATATACCAAGCTCCGTTCGAGAGTTTTATTTGAAAACAATATATATATGGAGAAGAACTATTCGAAAAACTACATTATATAGTACGCGTCATCATTTAACAACATATTTTATCGTTACAAGCGCAAGCTTAACGTATGCAACATTTGCGGTAATATAAAGTTAAATGGAATTATATCGCGCCATTTGTGCCTTGTGTTTAGCTTGGCGTCGTAAGACATTTTGAAACAATTTGATTCAAGTTACTTCGCTACTTGCTAGCCATCAGTGGCAGATATAACCTTTTCAGCCCAGCAGAATTTTACCTTTGTTAGCTCGATTTTGCATTGTATATTGCAAATTCAGCTTGAAAATGCGCACGTTAACACTTCTGGAGGCCTTCGTGCAAGCCACAGGTCTATTGCAGGCAGTCTAAAAAAATGATGCTGATTGTATCGTTTAGTACGTAGAGGGAGAGATTTATTGAACTGAAAGCTTGGCTTTAAGCGAAATGCGTTGCGTGCATCGTCTCCATCCTGATAACGGTACAGCCGTACTGCCACAATGCAGCCAATTCTAACAAGCTAATAGACAGACACAATAAGTAGCAACGAAAACGGTAGAAACGGCTGGAACTTTAAGATAGATCGCAAAAAACAATGCTATTGGCTCCAGCACCACACTAACTAGGAAAAAACATCGCTACTTTAAATATACCTAAAATAATCATGTTAGTATATGTACAAATGCATGTGACAGATTAATACATAACAAAGCCTACTTGACAATAACATTTGCCTACTAATGACGTAAAAACCTAAGGGCTACAGGTCTTCACAAGCCTGGAAAAGGTCATCAGCGGCTAGTATCAACACGCGGAAACTTATGGGTAACTTGGCCGTGAGTTTCTAAATTACGAAAGTCAAGTCAATCAAACAACAGGGTACTAACTAATTACGTACTGCTAAAAAACGTTCATAGATTAATATATTGCTGCGGTATATTTGTGGTCTCTTCCCATTGTCATGTGAACGATGTCCTAAGTTTTTAACGAAACTGTATGATACAATTTAAAATCTTTTCGCGTAGCTTCATCCAGAAACATCTCGCTCACCTGTTTGGTTCACTACCATCTATTCGTCCTATTTTCTCTTCTCCTCATAGATTTATTTAGGAACTGGCTATTATAGAACAGGCAAGAAGTTGACTCTCTGTTTACTACAACGAGCTGTACTAAGTATTAAACCGGTAAAGTATACCTTCATAGATATGAGCATTGCCTGTCTGTAAAGGTTCTATTTATTTTTTCTATTTCGTTCTTCGATATTAGCACGTTCCCGGAGTGTTTCTACGGATAAGTCGATTTAATCGTCAAAGTAACAGAACTCAACAATGGATTTCGAACGCTCAACAAATCTGTCCAAAGACGCCTTAGAAGAGGCATTGACCACAAGCCTCATACTGCCTACTCCTAGTTAACGGCTCCTTCAATAGTACGTGCTACTATAAACCCACATATTCTCTAAATATCGAGCTAGGGGACCCCCGATAGAAAAGGTTTTGTATCATTATATTGATGACTTGTAGGCACTTGCAAGTATACAGAACTTGAAACTTTGTATCAAGGTCTATCGATATGTACCCATAAAACAATAAAGCATACTAGATCCGAAACACTAGAATGAGTTTCAATTATTGCGATCTGTACGTCATGATTCGATAAAAACAAAAAAAATAGCGAAAACTGGTAAATCTACGTGCGACCACTCGTCGGAATCGAGGGAAGCGTTTCATATAAGGGTTGTATATATTTTATGTATACGAATAATATTCTGTATGAAAGTCCTCGTAGTTTAGCAATGAAATAGATGCCAATAAGTCAATGCAGCTGTATCCTGAGTTAGGAAATATGTTTATAGGTAAATACCTTGTCATAGATGAAAGTTGCGACTTTTTTAGCACACCTTCCTATTCAAGTCTGGTCATGGGGTCTGTATCACTGTGCAACGGTTTTTCCCTTTTATCGTCGACCGGTCATAGGCATACCACACCTATAACAAGATGTCCCCTTAATGAACAAACACGGGCCGTTTCCGATTAGAGCATCCCTTAAAGAAGCACGAAGCCACAGGCTCTCCAACAGTCGATGTTATATGGAGCTCTCCATTGTTGCCTACATCAGCCTCGGAAGCTGTGCATACATTCCCACTAGTCCATCGACAGTGCTTCTTCAATGGACCGGCTTTTGAACAACGTGTTTACTGACAGAAGTTAGATTCATGTGTGTCTAGGTAACAAAAAACGGACGCCTCTATGAACTTTTTTTGGAAGTAGGCCGTACAACAGTGGCGCCTATATTGTTTTTTTTTATTTTCAGAAAACGTGACATGCATTAAGGTCGTATGAACAACAGGTAATTGAATGTAGTTTTACTTAAGCAACACTTTGTGTCAAACGCGCATACATACGTAATATAACTGATAGTAATCAATGGTTCTTGTGTGCGCTTCATGTGTATTACCCTCATAAATCGAGTTCTACGTTCGATACTGCGGTTACGTATTGCTTCAGATGGCTGGCTCCCAGCGCGAAACGGAACACGTTCAAACTCGCTTTTGAGAGATTAAGATTACCCTACGTGTTCCTAGCATTGCGAGAACGCTGTGTATTACTGTAATCTGGCCGAGCAGATTGCGGAAGCCGACGGATACTCACAACCGCATTTATTGCTCATAACGTAACTTATTCTAAGAACGTACAATATAAGTGAAGAGTCCAGTTGAAGTACTACTTAGCCTGCGAACCAACTGTTCAAGTGAACCTTAAAATAGTAATATAATAGTATTTAACCCGTGATATGAAACGTCAAATTTGACTATGAGCAAAAGTATGAAAGTGCAGTATATTGGTTAGTTATTACTTTCGGCAGCCCGTCTGAAATTGTCGTAGCTGAAAAAACGTTTAAATACAACGATTTGTTTTTAGTCCACGCGCTGCCAAAGTAATTTGGAAAGAAATTGATCGGTTCGATTTGCTAAGCGGCCTCAAGCAATACTTAATCAGGCCTTAAACGAAGCCACAAGCGTTAATTGCCAGGAAGTGACATCAGTAGTAAACTAAAAGTCTACAAGGACACTTAGCATATTTCTTATCCTTCTATTGCCATTGTCGTAAACGTATCGAAATGGATAGTGGAAAACCTCGTCGGATCGTAGATCGGTACTTATGTTATATAGATTTCCGAATAAAGGCGAAAAAGGAAAGCAGAGCAAATTAGCGCAGACTAACCGCGGCATTCTATATGATAAAATTTATATTTGTGCGCCGATAATGATCGTTACTTTTTAAACTGTTGTTATAGTTAAGAGTGGAAATGAACCAAGCATGTGTATCAACGTATGAAGAAACATTTCTCAAGTTAGTGGATAAGGTGTCTGAAGGCTATTTAGCTTACGACTCTATAGCAAGCAAAAATCCACAGGTAGGAATGAAATCAGTTCTTCGCTAGCTTACTCAATCAATCTAAAAGTTTACCTCGTATGCGTGTTTTCACGAAAGTGAAGTAGGTTACACCCTTGTCTGTCAGATACGCCTATGAATTTTGCAGCTAGGCGGAGCCACTATCGATGTTTTACAAACTTCGGTCTCGTCTACATGCAAAATTTCGATTGCTCTTTGAAATAATTTCTAATACTTTCTTTCTAACATCAACGCCGCGCTTCTGATCTATAATATTTGCAGTATTATAGATTGGTAAATTGAGCCAAATGAACGTCGTGTCATTATATTTTTTTATTTCTATCGTTTAATTTATAGGAGAACTAGGAGGCGTACGTCTAACTTTGTGAAAGGTTGGCGGACGTCTGCCAATGCCGCTGGCGAGCAATTGTCCCTGTGTTATTAAGTCAATTTCGATGCGGTGCTTATGTAAAGCATTTAAGGCAGTGCGGTAAGTTTTACTCAGTGCTCTCAAAGCTGTTATATATCTGAGGTTCATTTGGCAAATAGTTCGTTGCTTAAAGAAGCGAATTGGAATTACCACTTAGTTAAATAGCGTATACTGACATTCTATTAAAGGAGTAACTTGTTCTGCATGGAACTGACTGAAACCGCAACATCTACCCTACGAACTTCGAGTATCATGTACAGTTTGCCTAGTTTTTATAGAACTGTAATATTCGGTAATCGGACTGAGCAGTCACAGCAATAACTTCAAAGGTGATGTCGGCTGATCGCTTGACTAACTCCCACAAGAATGGCGAGACGAACCATGAAAATTTAACAACGGCGGCCAAGATTTGAGCCAGGCACTTTTTCTAAATTGTTATCATCACCAACCACACCGTCAACGACTTTCAAGGACGATTAACAACAGTTTGAATAAGTGCTCGTGGCTAATTAGCAAAAACAGGCGCAACAAGGTTTTTTGAAAACGCATCTTAAAACGTCATACAATGCGCAGGACGCAGTTCGTTCCACGCGGCACGATTAAGGCCTCAATAACAAACTTGTTCTAACTAATTGAACACAACATATCTATCTTGATGAATTAAGCAGTTTGGCTTTTTAGATAGGAAGAATCGAAAACATGTATATTTCTATATATGCAGTCACTGTGTGGTCACAAAAGGTCTATTCTGGCGGCATTAAGAACATGAGCTTATCACGGCCGAGATGAAATCCAAAGGAGAGATAGAAATAAAGCAATTATGCAACATTTTTATTTAGGGCAATTGAGATAACTGAAATAGTACCGTTGTTCGGTTACCGAAGTTAACACTAGGATTTTTCCTATCACCACATACTTTATCATTTCAGTTAATTCTGAAAGAAATTCAGAAAGAATTCAGTTAATTCTGATTTTGAAAGACCCAAGAATGTTCTTAGAGAATTGAGTTTGGAGCCAAGGAGTCTGAGAAGCGTGGAATCATTCCTCTGAGGGTGACAAAGACGACCATTTTTTGGCATGTTTTTAAAGTTTGATTTCTTGGGCATCTGGATTTCTGGAACTACTCACACCTAAATAGTCCCAATTTAAACATGCTAGGTCCCAATCTAAGTAATTTTATTGGGTAAACTTACAACAAAGCCTAACATGCTTACGTCGCGCCACTCAAGGCTGCTACGCTAATAATAAGCGATTTACAAATTTACAGGGGGGTTAGTTGAGATGTTCCATTCAATATTACGATCACTACTGAAGTGACATGGAAGCTCCATTGCGTGATATATCTTTCCAGCAGTGTCAAAAATTGATACACGTTATCATTTTTGCATGGAGCATGATGGTGGATGTCGGTATAGCTTATCCGAACTTAGCATTGTTCGCAAACGAGATACAAACTGCCTATACTAGAATTCAACAAAGAATTCGCTGATAGAATTCATATCATAGGCTTCATGAATTGTCAAAATGATTGCGCACTAGAAGGTTTCAACATGTGCCGTTTTTTGTTTATCTACCAGATAAAATCAAAGAACCTACTAGGACCACTACCATAACTTCGTCAGAAATTCTCACAGTCAACAATACTCTTCAAATCTATTGCATTATCTGGGAATACCTATATATAGCCGTGAGCACACAAAGAAAAACGCCTGTTCGAAAATGATTAATTCTGAGAAATGTGGGAACTATAATCATTACTTGAAAACACATAGACTCACAATAATGTAAAATTAGCCTCTATGAATTCCACAAACGTGAGAAGATTTTCACGTGGACGTTTTTTCGTGGTACGAAAGCGTCTCCCGATTGACGATACAACACGAATCGTGAAAAAATAATATGAGCTCATAAACACATGATTTAGGATGTATCGTAATAATCTCAGAGAAGTGGGTCATATTTGATCTATTTTCAACTATTTGCAAAACGTAATCCATTTGATACGAAGTCAAATTATTACATTAGTGCAGTTTCAGGCATTGACGCAAAAAACACGGCGCAAAAATGGCCTCCGGAGACAAGGGAGCTCGCTGCGGACTTTTCGGATTTTATCCTCGTTTTTTACAGGCAAGATTTGATCTTTACACGCATTAAGCATTGTAGAAAGCTTCTAGCTGTTCTGTTTTGAGGGAATTTTTTTCAATAAGTCGACAGGCAAAATAAATACCGCATAACGAGCAGCGACTTAGCAACAGAAAAATTGTAAAATAAATAAGAGTGGTATCTAAAAGTAGGTCTTGTCGTGTTACATTGACCTAAAGAACCAACAATGTGAAAATGTAACGCTGGACGAAAGAACAGTGATTCGGTGACAGCCATTCCTTCAGATGTATTTGGATATAGCGTTTACTGACTGACATCATGTGACAATATATATAGTGACATACTAGTATATACATAGTAAACATATGGTGACAACTTCACGCATAATGATGATTTGAAAGGGGGTTCGCTGAATCAAGCAGAAACTACCGGAAAATGACAAGTTCACGTTAGTAACGTCCGACGTAAGAGGCTGTCCTGCATTCCTGAAAAGCGCATTCGTTTGTCCTGTAACCTGTAATTTTATCAGGACATACAAGCCATACTTCAAAAAGATTCCGGTCAACCCCAAAGAAACTGTAGGGTATATCAGAACACGAGCAACCCGCTGTCAAAATCACGGCAATATCCAGCACTTAAAGGACAATTTATTAAAATTATTTCACATAAGCGGAAGAATGTGTTTTCAATTTCAATTTTCTTGTAAGTCAATCTTACAATTAGGATACGTTTTTTATTCGTTTTTCTAACCTTTTCGAGGTGACGCGTTCGACCGAGTGCGATCGAGTTAATTCTGAGTTATAAAAAATAGTATAGAAACGTTGTTAAATTGCAGTTGGTCCCGGAATATATGGCAGACACGATGGAGCAGACATTAAAGTATTTACGATAAATGAAGCGCAATATTTGCAAACCTACAAAATTTGCTGCCTATCTCGTCTGCAATTGAACGTGACTCAGGGTAAAGCCAAGGTGCCAAATTGATACGCGTTTGGTGCTAGGACGAAACTGTGTAGGCCTACCGTTCATACAATACAATATATACTAGGGCACATTATCGAAAAAGAAGCTGTACCATTTACTAATAGATAAGAATGAGTATTTTTTATGAGTTAACTGATACAGAAATAGTAACTTAGACGAATGCTTAGAAGGTACTAGAAACAGCTGAATCTATGTACTTCTGCTGTTCGATTTTCAGAGCCTCGCTCATCCAAGTGCGTTTTTGTTCTTCCATTCGCTCGTGGGGATCTTACAGGGTGCATATTATACGTACCTAGTCGGAATTAACAATACTCTGGAGAGAAGGTTTGCAATCCGCTCGCAGATTTCTTCGATCGTCAACATGGCTGACAATATCAGCCCCATTAGTTAGTAAACATTATAATTGTATATTGATCTTCTATTAAAAGTACTTTTTTCATTAGGTCCAGAATTTTCGATCATCTTCTACGGAAACCTCTGCATCTTTCATCTCAGCTGCACTATACAGTTTTCATTGTTTCTCTGCCAGTAGCTTGGACTTGAGGTTTCTGTGAGTTTTTCAATTTCTCAAAAGATGTAATTTGGCACATGCATTTTTTTTTTGGATAAATCATAGCAAAAACAGAATTTCTCAGTATGTTTTAATATCCTGGCCGATGAAACATCATGCGTGCGAAGCAACGTAACAGCACGTATTCTGTCCTATAAATAGGTAGGTTACGATTTTCCAGTGGCTAAATTTAAACGGCGATGAATTTCATAATCGTCTAGAGGAGAAAATGCAGAAATACAAAAAAAGGATATATGCTCAGGAGAACAGCGCGATTTTAAGCAGTTTTTTGGAACGTCAAACATTTTTTAGTACCGATACCCTCGAAATGTTTCCCACAACCCAGTGACACGGCATATGCGATAAGGATCAGCCTAGATTCCGTGTTCCCTCATTTGAATAGTAGGAAATGAGACGCTATTATTGATCTTTTTCTAGCAAAGAATTTATGTGGTGTTGCTGGACAGACATTTATTGTGGACAGGAAACAGTCAGGTATGATTCGAAACCACATCAAATGAGCTTTATGTGGCCTACCGTTATTATCACGTCAACACAATTAAGTTTTTCACTAACTGAGTAATTAAGTTTATCGTTATGGATGTCTTTACAGTATTTGGTGCTATGATCGGTCATTTAGCTTCGAAGGGTCACAGACCTCGCTGGACGTCATTAGCCATGTTCCTGTCTGGAGTAGCGTGCGTATTTGGCGCTCTGCCTTACTTCTTTTTTGGACCAGGTAACAGATTTACGAGACACGTGCAATGCATAGGAGACAGGAAGTTGCAAATACGTTGACTTAGCTCGTTGACCTAAGAACGATAATGTCTTATTGTTGTGTTAGTTAATCTTCAGCTGTACGATGCACGCCGCTGTTTTTGTTTCAATTCAATAAGAGCAATATTCAGAGGCGCTATTTTTAAGACGACCTTTTTTTTTTTTTTTGCCTATGGGCTGCAGGCAATGATTATTTCGATGACAGCACAAATCATTACGTGGATTCACCTAACGACGACTTTGATTACTGTATAGTAGATCTCAAGAGTAATCAAACTGAAATGAGCGATAATCACTGTGATAGCGTTAAAAAACGCACAAATTTACCGTCCGTGGCTATAATTTTTTTGTCGAACTTCCTCACTGGAATTGGTGAGTGGATTAGTTAAAGGATTTCAAAAACGGGAAGTTTCAATATTATATATTTTTATCCTTCTCACCAAGCCCAACAGCCACCTAGTTTATGTCACGTAGCCCTTAGCTCAAGTATTGCTTTATAGTTTTCTTCGTAACAACGATCAGTGGAGAATTGCTTTTCAGGGTCGCGTTCCAGCGATTTCATTGGGGCACTTAATTCTAAGATATTAATGAGCTAACGTTTCTACGACGAATAATACTAATACAGTTTGACTGCTGGCCTCGATCTTGATCGACAGTCGACAATCAATTACTGGTCTTTGTAATGATTTCTCTACACAGTGACGACGATTTATTATTCAGCGGGCACAGCTTATTTGGACGACAACGTGGAGCGAAGGAAAGCTCCGATATACATGACTTTATCGACGTTTCTCAGGGGCATAGGACCTGTAATTGGCTTTGTCCTGTCGTCTGCTTGTCTCGCAATCTATGAAGATCCCCAACACCCGCCTGACTATGACTCGGAAGATTCTCGTTGGATCGGTGCCTGGTGGATAGGCTTCATCGTGCTCGGAGGATTCCAGTTTGTGTTTACGGCCCCGCTACTGCTCTTTCCAAAACGAATAAAAAAATTGCCAGAGGGTAATGTTAAAATAGAGCTCCTAGATATTATATACATTGCTTAGATGAGGTAAAGCCTTTTAATGTAAATCAAACACCATAGAGGCAGTAGCAATATGCATTCAGGTTGGTGACGCAATGGCAAACGTAAATTAACCGGGTCGAACATATAACCACATTCATTAAATGTCAGATTCAGTTAGTAAATCGCTTAGCGTCCGCTGAACATCTGCTTGTTACCGCATTTTCTCAATTATTATCTCCAAAGCAATTACACAAATCGCAAATGACATCAGGATTTCTTGTAGCACTAGAAGATTATCTTCTTTTCATCCATTAGTGGGGCAACCTGCGGTTGTTGCATAACTGGTCCATACACATTTAATTTCATGACCGGTCCTTGTTAGCTATAGTAGAATTCAAGACTGCGGTCCACTGCAGCGCAAGACTTCACTATTCTTGCACATTATTGTACCTATTACAATCTTTAGTGTAACTGGTTAATGGAAGTTAACTTAATGTGGATATTATCTTGCTCAAATGGTTTCTACATGGTTGATCTTTTGCTTTGATACATGTGAAAATATATGCATACATTCGTCAATGTAATGACTGAATCAATGAATGTAGATTATTTGGGAAGTGTCCTATACGAACGAGGTTATTGTAGATGACTTGGAAACAAATCAAAACTATCTATGCGACACACTCTCTTAAAGGGCACTGTACAATCAAGTGAAATACATTTACAAGTGTGCACTGTTAGCACCTTATTAGCATCGGCTAATCAGAGAAAACATGAACAGTTAGCGTTCCAGCAATTTTGGGATTTGATGTACATATTTCGGATATGTAGGGAATAGAGAATATCACACACAAATTCAGCTATAATAGAACATTGAAACACATCTCAGTATTGGGAAAACGAGCTCTATGTTGCAGCTCTATGATGTGAGCGTCGATCTTGGCATATCCTCCTCAAGTATGGGTGTCCAAATACGATTGTAGCCCACTAATAGCACTCACTTGTCCCCAGTGCTTTGTATTCTTCGACTTGTATGTGGCCCAAGCCACAGGCTTATCTGCTAATAGGGGAGAAAGACAAAGTAACCTAGTACGGCGAGAGATAACCAGCCTACCAGCCAGGACGAGGTCCTACAGGCGGGCGAGCGAATCAAGCCGGATAAGGCGTTTGGTGCGTACAGAACACCAATAATAGCCACGAAAACTCTGAAGCTCATTCCGTGCATGGCAGCAGTTACGTAATCCTTCAAGCGTGCCAGTTCTTAATAGGGTGAAAAAAAAAAAGAGGAACTAGTGCTCATTGCTAAAGGAATGGACCTCATAGGCCCATATGTCTTCTTACGACGTTTTTAAAGAAGGTGGAACCCATCCTAGAGAAAAAACTCAGAATCTTCTTCGAGGGTCGACGGCTTTTTTTCGGAAAATTAGCACGGATTTAGGAAACATCAGTCCGTAAAAACTTGATAGAGTTTTTCTGGGATACATTGTGGTATACAGAAGATCTGTTTCCCACAGTCCTTTTGCACGTGAAATATGTTGAAGAAACAATGCTCAAATGTTTAATTCAGGGACAGGAACCACAATACTTAACCTCTCTGACCTCGAACGGCCTTCAGGACAGATATGACGGCTGAAGTTTCTTAAGCATCCGACCTGGGTATCCTGGTATGGGTCCTAACGAACGTTTACCGTCCATGCTAGAACAACTGCAAAGCCCTGAAAAAAAGCCAGGCGAACGCTGAGGCACATTTTCAACATAAACGATCATGGGCTGCTTTTAGCTCCAACAAAGCCTTATTTAAAGAAAAAAAATCCTCGCCCTTTACGCTCATTCTCGGTAGAAAAAGGACCAAATTGGTTAAAGCGAGAAAAAATTTGAATACGCAGTTCAGCCATACGCAGCAGCAGGCAAGCCATAGGAAGGGCAGCTAGAGCTAATGGATTCGGTTAGACTCACACTCCTAGACAAAGAGAAAAGAATACGTATAATTATTACGGGGACAATGGTGCTTTTTAAGACTTCTGTCTAGACGATATTGAATGCGCTTGCCGTCGCAGTTAGGAAGCTGCTAAGAAGGGTGCAACGAGTGCTGGCATTCACGTTATTCATCGGTACCGCATAGTTGAATGAATGCGGCCATGGTGGGGCATGGGGTAGCCATCTTCTCAGCCTATAATAAAGCTAGACGAAAAGCCTAGCTGAAAACGTATTAGAAAATCGGAAAGCAAAATGCACTTTGAACCTTTATAATAATTTATCTTTATGAAATCTTTGTTCCTTTAGCGACAACAACGTTTCATGAGAGCGGAATGTTACCGGCAATGCTGCGTCTGTTTCGAAACCCCATTTATATGCTTCACATGTTCAGCCAGATATTTAAATGGTTTGGGATTCTCGGATATTTCAATTATTTACCGAAATACATACAGGTAAGTGCGTTCTGAGTATATGGAGGCGAAGCCAGAACAAGACTTCTGCTGGAAATTCAATGGGCGGAACATGTTCGAGGACGTACATATTCATTCACTTTATGCTACGGGTGTCAATGGCTATCATGAACACACCCCATAGTTTCACTTATGGCCCTTTGACACAATCACAATAACAGTATTAAGCGACTGTTAAAATTAACCATCGACGTCAATTGAAACGAAGAAAAACTAGAAAGATATGGTGGTAATAACTTGGCAGAACTATGGGCTGGCAGTCTTTGTTTTATTTAAGTATTCTTACCATACATCCTAAAATTTCAGGAACAATTCCATGTCTCGGCGTCCAGTGCGGCTTTGTACGGCGGATCATTACCAATTGCGCTATCTCTCTTGCCAGTGCTGCTTGGAGGCATTACGATCAGGTTATGCCTATAACAGAAACCGATAGTATAGGTCGAACGATATGCGAGGGCAAATTTATATAATATTAATGTCGTATGTCTCCAAGCTGCGTTTAAATGAAAGCAGATTGCTGGATACAGCTTTTTCACACGCTTATAAAACCATACACATGGAAAACGTTAATTTAATTTGTAACTGTCGTTCGCCTCGATTACGATAACGATTTGTAGCCTCACTCGTGGCGCTCACCGAGCTATGCCAAGGCATTTTCACCTATTTCTTTAATGCTTTTTAATTTATTCGACACTATTTAAGGTTTGCTAGGCTCTCGCTCGGTCACTTGGTACCGTACATGGTAATTCAACCGATTCAAATCTAGGCCACAAGACTATCGAAATATATTTCCACATGCTCAGTCAGCAAGACAAACTTGCGTCATTTTTCTAAAAGCTTATTGTTGCGTAATTAACACAGCAGCTATGCATGGCAAAAATTTTAAAACACTTAAATCCGTATAGGACATTAGATCTTCACTTAAATTTCATAGACGGGCTTTTCGTCTGGCTCGTTATGGTGATCTTGTAGCTCTACTATCGAAAAAACTGGCCCTCTGACACAGGAAAGATGATGAGTAAACGTTTATTCATTGCGACAAACAACCGGCCAATATCTGGCCCAATATCTCTCGAACATGGAACAGCTCGTCGAATAAACTATCATCCAATGAAATTTCACTTAATTAGCCTCAGCGAGAATTAGCTTAATTAAATTTTTTACTTATTATATCGGCAATACGCATTTTATGGTATAGCATAGAGATAAAGGCTGTGATGAGTTTTTTCGTAGTGATAAATTGTTTTGCCTACGACGAGTAGAAGTCCATTTATTCTGTTTACAGATACTGGAAACCGAACCCGCGTTTGTTGACCTTCATTATGTTCTTACTAGAAGTCGCTACGATTATCCTCTTTTTGACTCTGGGGTCGTTCAGATGTGAGGCTCCGGACTACACCGTTGGAACAAACGAAGCTATGTCCAGGTATACACGTCGTTAGAAATAGAGCAGTAATCAACTTATTTTGAATTCAATTATGTAGAAGGTAGAGTTTAGTTGTTACGCGAGCCAAGAACTCTGTACCTCCGATGTCAATATTTTAGGAAACTTCCATATTTCAGCGAAGGTGCCTTAAATAATGGAATAAATGATTTTTCATGAAGGCTCCTTAGGGCCTCTACCCAAAATAGCTACACATGGACGGTGATAATCACCTACAAACTCACAGTTTTTACAAATCCCTTATTAAATCAGTGTCTCATCTAGATTTTAGGTTTAAGAATTTTATATACGAGTGTTAAGCATCTAGCACAGTTTATCGTACCGTATAAGCTTCAATTCATTTCCTGCACTACGTAATGTGCACTACAAATGTGATCTCTCTATAAACAAAACTTTATTATGTAAAGAGCCCTTAAAAATCATTACCTTGATCATCAGGGAGACGCTCATCGAAAATGCCAAAATGAGATCGAAAGAAAGCTAAGCTCACAAATGACACGTCCGATTGCCCAATCTGATAACTAGATCACTTAAAACGAGTAAGCAAATTTTATTTGTCTGATCTTGAATATTACGTGCGTTTCGGAACAAACAAAAACATGCAGATCTCCTATCGAAACTAATGTTATATTTACTTGTTGTGAATGCCAAAGTATATGAAAACGCTATACATGACGTTTCATCTATGTTAATAGCTTGATAAAAATGTTTGGAACCAGAATAACAAGAGGATTATCATGTTTATGCGGTCCGATTACCTGTCTGATAACTTGGTTTGTTTGTAGAGACGACATTGAATTGGGGTGCAATCGAAAATGCCACTGTTCTTTAGCGGTGTTCCATCCAGTATGTATTGGGGAGACAACGTATTTTTCGCCGTGTTTCGCTGGTTGTCACCTTGGAAGCATGCTCAATCATAGCACACTGATTAAGAGGGGCCTAATCATCTCTAGCACATCCTCAGAGGTATAATTGTTTTTATTTTATGTTCCGACTTGAACTTAGTTTGTGAGCATCCATCAACAGAAAGAAACCAGCTATCAGTCGATGCTGAATGATAGACCCTCGTCTATTCTTTAACACGACTTTGATTTTATATTTCGTAAAAAGTGAACTTAATATGGGTCCCTCGCCCCTACGCTTGTGCTGCTCGCATCCTATCCATAATTCTACTATTTCCCATCGCTAAACTATCACGATCATGGATAAGAAGAACAACAAGAATTATTATAAATTATTCCGTTATCTGATAAAGTTCAATTTTAGTTGGTAATTATATTTTAGCGTAATCAAATATGCTATATAAGCTGTAAACGTGTTTATACTTCATAGCCCGTGTCATTCCATGGAGTAACGCTTTACTTTGGCCGACCATCCCTACCTCCATAGGCATCTCGCTTGTTTTGCAGGCGTACGAAGATTGTCGTTGCGCTCAATATTTAATGACCCTAAACAAGAGTGCATACTCACGATTGGACCACCGCGGGCATAGTGTTCCTCTTCTCGCCGAAAAAGGCCGTTGTGCGGAAAGCTCAGCATCGTGCACGTATCAATATAGGCTGTACCTCGTCTCATTGACACTCAGTTATTGTACCGCTTTAATCATGCAGTCTGCTCACATACTTATCCCGATCAGGTGCATATCTTGATCTAATGAAACATTTTACGTTTTTTAGACTATTTTAAAACAAGAAACCTACCAATAATGCGACACTAACGCGGGCACTCCGCGATCAGCTGATGAATGCGTGGATACGGTTACCGAGCAGTTTTAAAAATCTTCAGTTCTTCATAAAAGTAAATTATGCTCATTACACGTATTCCTGTTGAACTGCCTCCACTTTTTTCTATGGAACATTGACTTCTTATGTGCATTGCGGGAATCATTTGACCGATCACATATTTCACCAACAAACCTTTGTTGACAGATGTGTGGATACCAACGATAAGACGTTCAGTCTGGCAATTTATCAAGGCGCCATCGCGTTGTTTGGTACGATTTACATCTATTTGTTCCATTCCGTTCTATTAAATTCTAACCCAAAGCTCACGTTCAAGTATATCATGTTTGCCCTTTTTTGTGAAAACGATAGAATCATGTGCCTTCAGCTATTATGACAGTTACAATGACCTAGGTTGACAACCTAATCTGCATTCTGCCTTGTCTGATCCTATTATGCCTAAATATGCGATATATAAGACATCTCTGAAAATATTGTTAACTATTATGTGTCGTTTTGCATTATTTTGCAGCATATATCCCCTATCCACTTGTGTATAGTTATCTAGTGGACTCTACGTGCGTCCTATGGGAGGAGAGCTGCTCAACGCGAGGCAACTGTTGGGTGTATGACATCAAGCGATTTAATGGGACACTGCATTATACCACAGTGATTTGTTGTGCTCTAGGTGCCGTATGTTTTCTATTTGTCTTTGCCTTTTCAACAAGATTGGACTTATTCTATGTTTGTGACGATGAAAATGATGTAAAAGTTGCCGAGAACCCGAAGTACACACCGACAAGTGGCAGCATATCAATGACGGTTAGTCACAGTGCAAAAAACAACAGCCAAATTCGGGAATGAGTTGAAAATTGTAACATTTAGCCTCCTCTTTTACGCAATTTTCTCACGATGGACCGAACTGCAATAGGTTTACTATAAGCAAAGCACTAATTAAGTAGCATCACGATCCCAAAATGTTCTAGCAAAAGTGGCCAAGTTTACATGACTACGGACATGACTCGGACCCTATGATAAATGGACCTATTTGGACAATTCGATTTCCATAAAAGGCCGACGGCAAATGAAACGAAAAAATACACTTTCTATTGGGCGGGAATATGGGGTCGTATACAGCAGTTGCATTTTGCCTACAATTTGATACCACGATTTTTGTGATGACAACGACGATTGCTGATGATAAGAAGAATACCACAGAAATATTATAACGTTTTCTCTTTAACTACGACCGTTTGCGTCTTTTGCAGAAAACTTAACTAAGATAGATAGCAAATATTAGTTAACAAAGTTAATTCATCTTTGAGAATATCACAAAATCGATGGTGATTGTTTATTTATGATATACAAAACTCAGCTACAGTGGCCTTAAACGCGTGTGGGTAGAAGTGCTAAGTCCGATAGCGCAGTAAATTTGCTAAGCACCCAGGCGAGGAAGCAGCTGGCTTTATTAGGCTTATATGGAATTTGTCGCAAAAGAACCTTACATCGATGCGTCAAAACTATGGAGTGCTGCTAACGTAACGGTTTGCTTGCTTCGCTTCCATTCAGCCACGATTTCCTATCGCTGTCATGTTCAGAAATTTGTTGTCTATCTAAGTGAACTTCGGCTGCCACTCTCGGAAACTCTTGGACAAAACGTCGGTGTTTAGAGAGCCAAACAAAGATCTGTGATTTTCAATTAGTAGGAGAACTTTAGTGAAATATTTAATCAGTCGATTTCTCACCGTGCAATGAAAACCTAGAGTGAGCTTAAAAGATTCCTTCAAAAATAGGATTTCTTTCTATGAAATCTCTGTGAGATGCTACCAGTGCCGATATGTCGTTGCTACCAAGTCGTTGTCAGCGGGGAGAGCCTGTTTAAGGTCTTCATCAGATACGCCCCAATAAGGGCTTTTTTTTTTAAATCTGCGATGTATGAAGTAAAACCGTTACCTTTAAGAGAAACAAGTAGCCCAAGCTACGAGAACCTGCTGAGAAACAGGAGGAGTGATCCGGCAAGAAACAGTGTGTCACCAGCTGAATTTAGCGACTTCCGGACCAGTTAGATAGACCACTACATTAAGTTCATGTCATGTTAAGCTTAACCGAGGTTTTTAGTGTCCTGTGAGTGAGTAATTAAAGCAGTTGAGCCTGTTGTCCCTGTGGTTTAGGTACAACTTGTTAGCCATTCATATGGGTGTTGTTTTGCTCCTGCTGTTGCCGGACAGATTTTTACTACTACAGAAATTGTCGAATCAAAATCTGTTTATTTTAGGGTAGCAGTTTCGATTGACGAGTATAGGATTTTATGTGCAACCCTTGTCGGCCCACTCCAGGCAGCTCTCCACATTCAGGCATCGTTGGTCCTAGCACTGACTTTAGGAGGGTTTTATTTGTAGCACCAAATCTATAGCGATAAGGAGGCGCGTTTGTGTACAACCGTTCTGTTTTAAAAAGTTGCTGATTTATAGAAACAATGTTTATGCCGAGTAACATTAGTTGCAATCAAGAATCGTGTTTCGTGCGTGTCCTTGAAACGTAACATGGATTGATAAGAGAACAACTATAATCCGCTCATGTGCTCAAATCTCAAAGTGCTCATGTGTAACTTAAATCTGTTGAGTTTAGGGGAGAGTTAATGTTAGCAATTACGATTTACGAGGTGGAGGGGTACAATGGCCACAATTATCAAGCAGATTCTCTATTAGCATTAATGCAGCCTCTATTAGCATCACATAGTCGGGCTTTGTCACTTTACAGCATAATGTTTTTTCAAGCGCTAACTTAAACTCAATGAGCTTAATAACACTGAACTGAATATTGCATTGAAATATTTTTTTTTTCACTTATAAAGGACCTTTTTCGAAATCAGATCAGATGATAAGAACACAGACAAACTGAGCTGGGTTCATGCTGGACGTTAATTGTATTGTGCTTACATAGCCTTCAGCTAGCAAGATGTAGCTAAATGGGTTGAACTTGATGATCGAGGGTTGGATGGGTTAACTTGAACTTTGTCAAAGTAACAGACAGAATCCAAATTTTGGTTCACAATTAAATACAATTTTGTTTGTGGCCGACTATCTACACCTTCGAAAACCCCCTACGCTTAGACGGCTTTCCGTGAGATTAAACATAGAAGTGGCACAAAGAACCGCACTAGTACAAGCTTTTGAGTTAGACAAACGCAAACTCGAAATTTGTAAGTTACACAACAGTGAACTTTGATCACGCGTTGTGCAGAATTTTTCGCATCTTCTTGACTTGTGGAGCAGTGAATGAGGAAGTTTTGTAGAAAAATCTTGATAAGATTCTTTAGAAATACAGCTACGAAACCTGTCTCATTTAATCATAGATTTGATTTAGACAAAAAAGAGGCGCGCATTTTCCTGGGGATAGGCACCCCTGACCTCTAAAACTTGTCCTTAGATAAAAGTTTAATAATTTTCGTGAACATAAAGAAAATGATTACGCTTCTCCTTTCAATCAACCAAACAAGTCGCTGAGCAAAACCAAAAATATGTCACGCAATATTCTTGAATTACCTTCGTTTACTACACTATAGTAGTACAGGATTTCGTGACCTGATCCATTTTAATCTGGCGGTCTCCTGTTGCAAAGCGTCGACTGATCTGTGGCAGGGGGTAATGTGGGTACCGCCATATCTGGTGATACGGCTAAACTAACAAAGTCGGACGAAACGAATTGTGCGATAAATGGCCGGAGTGATACCTGGTCAAATTATCTTCTGCTATGAGGCGCTAGTGTCACTATGATGAAGACGCATTTATTAGCGTTCTTTGCACGATGATTTTATAAGAAATAAGTGCGTAGCGTTTGCGCTGCCTTAAATAAGGCGAAACCGTTGTTCTCTAGATCGCTTGTATTTCTATATAATTCAATATATAGTACAAGCGATAAGAGTCTAGCATGTTAATCCATATAACCAAACGTATGTTTCTAGCTTCGAGGAAGAGCTTGAATCAGCATGTGTTGCTTGTTGCGAAAGGCCCACTACGTGTTTATGCGTATTTCACTTAAGTTAGAAGATGAATTGTTACTTAAGTACCAATGCTCATAAACAACGTTCTCATTAACGGAACACATAATAAAATGTAGGATTTGAGTTGTTGTCTGCCTTCTTAAAGGGTTCTAATTTAGTATCGGCTGCATTTGCTAAATTATGATAATTTAAGTAAGCTTATATCAAATGTTAAATTGATGACGCCGTCAGGGCATTATAGAAATAAAGTGAATCCTTTCTTCAATGTTCTCTTTATGTGCGCCTACTCTTCCGAGGCTATTTATGGGAATCATCTCGCACAGGCCAGCACACACGGAACCAAACTAAGAAATCTTTAGGCATCTAACCGAAGGTTTTTCTGTCGATGTGACAAAAATTACACACGGTACATATATTTTTTAGCCACACAATGGAGCAATAAGGATTAATTTACGATAGAATGGGAGAAACGCTACATCCTTTTAGATCAAGGAAGCTCGTTTACAGCAGAATATGTTGTTACCCAATAGCATTACGAGCTAGCAAGCCGTGTCAATAAAACATTAGATGCACAAGTGAATATTTAGCATTTACTATTATTTATAAAAATATATAAGATAACAGACGTCTGAATTCAAATCGCTAGAACCTCATTCATAGAATACGTATATAACCATTTCGTTATACAGTAGACTATTAAGCCCATTTTAACAACCGTTGACTCCGTACCTCCGTATCTTTTAATAGGGATGACAGTGAACTTACCTATTTTTGTTTTTTTTTTTTTGTTACCGTTTTTTTTTCACTTTGGCTTTAATTTGGCATCTTCATTGTCATATATCTATCTTTTTTTCATTTACTGTTCAAATATTGTATTTGGTAAAATTATATTACCTAGTAAACGTTAGATAACTAAATAACGACAAACTTCGATACAAAATAAAATATGGGCCATGCGTGTAGTCGATGATAATTACCACATGAAGTTAGTGGAATATATTGCACGTATTTGATTTGAATTTTGAGTTATGACAATAAATTGTTCAAATTTTTTATTTTAAATATTTATTTATTCTGGGAATGAGAAGTTGCGTCCGATTACGCTGTTGGGAAGCTGAGTGGTTTTTTCACGCGATATTAAAGAAAAAAGTCTACTGGAAAACTATTAGCTAAGTCCGCTAAAAAGTAGTTACGTTAATTGCTTACTGCAGCGTCAATGTAGCGTGTTCAGACGAAGGCGAGCCTGTTTGCTAATGGTCAACTGTTTTAATCGATGACAATAGAAAAGCGGATTACTTAGTGGACTTCGTTGGCACCTCAGAACCGATTTAAAATATTCCTGACACGCAATGTCGATATAGTTTTATTTTTCGCTAGTGATCGCAAAACGAATTCTGTTTCAGCTGACAGTAAATTTTCTATTTGCCTCAGAAGAACTTGAAGATCCTGCGCCGAACGCACTTCGTTCAGTGGTTGCAGGACCTGCGCCAGGTCTACAGCGCTAAGTTGAAGATGGTTGACACTATGGCCCAGTCTGGTTGCAGTCATAGATGGCATATTATTGAGAATAATCGCTGCAATTTTAGGGATTAGACTAAGTTCGCTCAGTACGTGCGCGAGCTCGGTTTCGTTCATCGGTAACAGCTCCGCGGTCTCGCCTAGCTCTGAATATGTAATCCTGCCCTCATGTAATAAGGCATTGAGGATATATGCACGCTGGTGACTGTCGACGCCCAAATGACGCAGTAACGCACCAATTTCTTGAGCAGAAAACTCCTCTGGCATGTCAAGTATAGTTGCTACAATGCCGTCCTCGCTTGCATCGATACACTGAAGAACGTCGGCGAGACCCGTGGCATCATGACCATGCAGCAACGGTACGAGGGCCAATATATCAGCCGTACTATTTGGATGCAGCGCCTTTACCAGGTTTGTTGCGAATGCGCGATTTTCCTTATTCCAACCCGAATACGCAGCCAACTCACTAAAATCGATCAGCTTTGTATTACGAATGGCGGCAATGATTGCCGGTATCTTCGTGAAAGGTGTTCCAAGGGATTTGAACACGTTTGCTATTATGGTGGGTGACTGATTAGATATTGACTTCATTAGAGTTACGAGGACGTCATTCGATTTCGGATGCAGATATTTTATAAGCTCGACAACCACGTGATCGGGTATTTTTGTGCTCCTGATTATATCAGCCATATTATTTGGTGTAGCGTTTAGCCTGCTGAAAGTGTCAGCTAGAGATTTTGCGTCAGAAATATTGGTGCCAGAAAGTAGCAATTCAAACTTTTCGACACTTTCTCGACCCTTAACTTCGGCACCCAGACGGAGCACCCTTGTAACAGACTGGGCAAATAGTTGCATCTTTGGGGAAAGAGCACACCTCACCTGTGCAACTGCCCGCTGTGTGTCCGAATGCTGATTTTCTAGGATTTCCTGGGGCATACTGCCTTCAGATCGATTATCAACTTGGCTGTGTCCAGGCGCGATATCCTCATACTTTTCCTTCGATAATCCACTTGGTTTAGAAAATGATGGCCGTTGAGACGTCACGAAACGTGCGGCATCTAACGACATGCCGATAATTTTTGACCGCATAGTTTGTGGCCGCCAGAGGGACAATGGGGAAATTTTAGGACGGGCCAATGATACAAGTTTTCTGACGCCTCCTGATAAGTCTAATAACGGATTTGTAATATTTGATGCTGTGAATACCGGAGTTGACGGTAAGAGCGTTCCGGAAGCAAGTGGCAACTTTGTGACGCTTTGTGACGTTGACATTTTGCTAGGATTTAGTGAAGCGAGCAAAGATATTCTGATATTTGACTGTCTGCTGTCTCTAACAGGAGCCGGTAATGTGAATTTTGTAAACTTGCCTGGTAGAAGAGGCAGCGTGAATGGGAACTGTGATAGGGTTACCGTAATAAGATTTGGCGGGGTAGCCTCCGTCACAATCTTATGAGGTGGCAATTCAGATACGGTGAGATTAGATAGCGACATCGGCTCTGTAACAATAATTGGGGACAAAGATATTCTGACCCCGTTTTGTGACTCAGATTGGGGTATCCTACTATTTGGTGAAACAGCTGCCGGTAGTATTGGCTTTCTAGATTGTTTTGGCAAGGTGGTCTCCGTAGTACGAATTGATGTTGAGGATACTGTTGCATTCCTTCTAGCTGGTGTCTTGGATGACGTTATACCCAATTGGAGTTCTAAATCGATTGGCTTTGATGCCACTTCAAGAGACGTTGATACATGCGCAACGAAGAGATTTGGCTGTGTAACTACTGTGTGAGGTACCGTTAACGGGTATAGCGTAAACCACACACGATTCAATGAAGTGGGCACTGTCATAGTCCTACGGGCGGCTGACTCTGGTGTCATAGCACTCGACGGAAACTCGGGTTCAACAGAATCTGACGTTTGTTTGGGAAACATTGACGTCAGAAGTACAGTGTTATGAGTCATGGGCGTAATTAGCTCGGAACTCGTTGAGGGCGTGGATAAAGTTGGAGTCGGAAAACCTGGTGATACCAGCTCCATGTTGCTTGCCGAGGGGTTCGATACAGACAGAAATATTGGCCGTGCAGGTTTCGATGATACCGCCGATGCTGTCGGACGAAATAACTCAGTGAACACCATTTGTTTCGTGGATACTCTAGGAAGACTTGTGTGAGTGACCGTAAGTGTCGTTGATGAGTTGGTCGAAGATATCATCGTCTTGGCCTGAGGCACGATCGAAGGACCATCATAGACTGACAACTTTGTACCAATATTCCAGCTGTCTACTGTGCTCAGTGACCCGCCGACGAGATGCTCCTTCGCGTCGGCAGAGTTGTAGCACCAGGGGAACTCACCAAACGAGCGGATTGCTTGGTACGATCTGAGATGTTGCCGCAGAAGACTATTGCAATAAGCACACAAAACGTCGGCAACCTAAAAAATATAGATATCCTTAATGATCGTTAAGTTTCATGAAGATTGATTTGCATAGTAGCCGTATATTGTGATGTTTTACGTTTTTTAAGAAGGCAACTCTGATGGGGTAAATCGATCAGAGAAATTTATTAAATTCATTTTCCGGTACTTAACAGGCAGGGGTTTTCTCATAGCGATTGCTGTAACTGTGATTATTAACTAGAAAGTTGAACTGCGCTCTTCTGAGAAGGTGGTCCTATTGATCGCGGCCCTCTTCAGTCAAAACGTGAAACAGCGAGTGAATCAGCAGTTGAAACGAGTCATTTCTAATGAGATGCAAAATTACTCGCTGGAATAATTTGCCATATTTCCTAAATTTGAACCCGTTGTCCCATTATTTCTAAAACAATAGCCAGCGGGATTAGTAGAAGTTGTAGCCAAGAGTAAACACGGTAGTCTCAGGGCAGCGTACTTTTAGCTCCTTTTTAATTCACACAACTTTTACTTCACAGAGAACACTTTTTACCGTCTTGTCCTGTAAATAAAGCTGAGCTGTCATTACCCCAGTTGTTTCAGATCAGCTAGGTGTCGTTCCTCATATTTAATGCTCATTTTAAAAATACACGTTTTTACGCATGAGCAATCTTCTTCCGTGCAGTCAGTCATCTCGAGTAAAGTCCCTACGGGCAATACAGCTTCTTCTCTGAACGACTTTCCAGTAACCCTTTTAGTTGGACGGAGTCTATCAGATCACGATACACAACAATTCATTCTCCTCCAACACGACTTTTAAGTGGATAGTTAAAGATTATTGGATCATATGTTACCACGCTGGCGTCGCAGCAATGTTTACACTTTAGCTGTACTGATATCTACGTTTTATTTTGAAATTTAGAAGGAAAAATATAAGATACCGACCCGTTGTGGTATGGAATCAGAGGGGTCGTCCACGAGTCTTCTAATGAGTTTACGAATGGGCACGGATTCATCAGTTTTTCGATATAGTTCTTGTTTCATCCGTCTCACGAAACGTGCTGTGGATGCCACAATTTCTCGATCAGGCCGACCAGAGCGTCGAGTTCGGCTTTGAAAGGGGCTAAGGAAGGGCAGTTGATCAATGGAAACTTGACTGCTAAAAGATAGTGGCCGTTGCCGTGTGTTTTGACCGTCGGGTGCTAAAAGGTTGTAGAAGACGTTGAAGGTTTTTGTGCCTCGGTTACCTCCAGGCAACTTATATTTGTCGCATCTGAGTGATTGCAGCTGTTGGATGAGTTTCGGACGTTGTCCCTTCAAAAACTCTCGCAAAAAGGCACCACGCTTAGAGAATGATCTGATACGATTTTTAGTCTCAATAAGCTGCTGTCCGCGAGTAGTTCGAAAGCTTTGCGAAATAGCCGCTAAAAGAAACGAGTATTAATAAAATTACAGAAATAGTCGTGCGTAGATATAATCGATTATACTCGTTGCTCAAGATTTTCCTGTTTCACGTACAAACGAGAAAACAAGTTACAAACTTCTTATGGGGAAAAACACTAGATTACGTGAAACATCGGATAGAATCCGGCTCTGCAGTAACCATTTAATCGAGAAAAATAAAAAACGGTTCCGTTAGTATTTTTTCAAGTGATTAACTTACCCTGTATGCGACGGCAGCATAGTAAAAATTATGTTCTTCAAAACAAAGGCCAAGAAAATGTCATGCATTTTACTAAAAATAATGATGTAAGTAATACTTAGTGCTAAATATGTACCTTATAATTCACAATCATCCTCCGCCTTACATTATCTTAGGCCTTAGATACTGTTTCCGTGCGTAAAATATTAGAAAATATCTATAATCATAAAATTGCTCGTGTTGAAAATCTTCCTCATGTTTTGTAAGTATTATCTAGGATTACTTTGTATGGAAGGCGAGAAGACCGAAGGCTGCTTAGGCCACGTTTGGTGATCCAAATTTATAATGACATCTTTCAACTGATGTGCATAGCAATTTTTAAAAAATATTAGAAAAATCATTGTTACATTGGACATGTGCGATTGTGTACGCAGCATAAATGACGTTAGGCATATAAAACGAAAGTATTCTCGGTGAGTATTCGTATTTAATAGAGAACATTACTATCAGTCTTCTTTGTACTTGAGAAAATATATGGGAATAAAATTGCTAATATCGACTCACCTTCAATAATAACAAACAGTATAAGAAATACCCTGAGTGACGATTTCATAATGCAGGACAATCCAGTTAAAATAAATGCTTTCCCAGGCTTTACAGATAGGCGCCGACAGAACTATGTGGATTGGACGTGGCCAATGGTCTTGTTGTCTTTTATAATCAATACGTTTCTGGAAAATTCTATCCATTGGTAAAATCTCTAACTGACATCGATTAAAAGGTTGGCAAGAGACCTCAACATTGTGGTCAGTTTTCAAATTTGGCGCCACATTAACGTAATAGCGTTACTTTTTCCATCGTTCTAACCGACACGGCTTTGTGATCGAAATGTGAAAAATACGCGCGTAAATTTCATCTGTTGCACCAAGCATACGGCCTGTCGAACTCATCCCATTATACGCTTACGGTTATATTACCGGAACGAAGTTTACATTTTTGCCAAGTGCACAAAAACTTCGTGTAAGTTAACTTAGTCGCCTTAGATTTCGGATCACTCAGACCGTCACGAAACGAGTTACCAATATAAGGAAATATCTTGAGTTTGTCTATACTGAAACGCCTAGGAAAAGTCGATCTAACAGTTATTGGCGATCTCAGACTAACCTGAACACGGACAAGCATCATCTGCAAACAACAGAAGAAGTGTCAATCATTTATAGGATTAAGGTTACGAATCAATGGCAGATGACATCCGTCATGTATCACACATTATCATCGGTGGAAACATTCTGGAATTACTAATATTCTAGAGTGACGACATCCAAGTGATTGAGTCGTAGCAGCTCGGTGATTTCTGCGACGAGTTTGTTAGAAAAAAATCAGCTAAAATGAAGTAGCCTCGTTCCCCTAACCTGCCAGAGTGTGCTAAGCCTCTTTTCAAGTATCTAAAATTCAAATTAGTAGATGTAGGTAGTTCACATCGGTAAGAACGTCTCTTGTTCTCTATGCATTATTCTTTTCCAATCCATATAATAATAATAATAATACAAACCTCACCTCAGTTGTAGTGTAGTGGTACCGATGGAGCGCACCTTGTGAGAACAAAGCCCATTATCGATCATTCCAATTTGTCAAAGTATATTTAGCCATATCAGTATCGGCCAGAGGACTCCATTCTAGTATATTTGCACTTTCAAGATGAAAGCCTAAACGATTAGGTTAGGTGATCTGGTGAATCATCGGTGAGAAGCGTTCATTAATTTTAATTCACATAACCATTATAACTGGCACTTTAGTGATAGGATGCTTATATCCTTGGTGGTATTTTTTGGTAGAGATGGTATTTTTAATAGATCATAGGCCATCTCCTTCCCCATATTCACTTAAGCTGTAAATAACTTAGGAACGAAACTTGTACGATATGGAAGTGTGTTCGTTAAAAGAACAGGCTAAGCATTCGATATTATTTTTTGACCAGCAACTTTATTCCATGTTAATGTCCCGTTAGGGAAATAGGGTATGGGTAAAGGAACTGATAACACCAGAAATTTTTACTTAGTCTACAGTAATTTGAATATTTGACCGATTAAATCGTTCCAAGCGAAAAAAAAACTCCAAACGTTTAATAGACCTTATTAGCACCGTTGCTATAGGATATTTGTTAGTTAATAGGGAACATTTTTTCTATCATATTAAAAAAAAAAGAACGGCAATACGTACTACCTTAAGTGAAACACTAGTACCTAAGCAGTAAGTTTTTGATTGCTACAAAATGCGCACTTTTTTTCTCTACATACGCATCGGCAAATGGTATGTAATATGTAAGTTATTTCCTGTACTACCTAGCTACGTGTTTACGCAAGTTTGTCCATTTAACACATCCATTCGTAAACAGGTCAACAGATACCTAACTGTAGTCCTGAGCAATGTTAGGAACGAAAGTTTGGCTGCAAGGACCAATAACTAAAGTCCTATTCTATCGAAGCAATACAAGCCTACTATGCTGTCAAATTGCGCCTCCACACCAGGCTCTAGCAGCTTTAGCTTCACCTTCTAGGTCAATGCATCAAACGTAGCTGCTTCACGAAAACTACAAAACTCAACTAAAACGATACGTGTCGCTGCACAGCGAGAGCTTCCAACGGAAGCTTGCGCATCCAAAGCGAAAATTATGTTAGTCAAGGCCATCTAATTGCGTACGTTCATTTCTAGTAACCCAGACACTGTAATCAAGCACAATTAGGATCTCAAACTAATTTCGAAAAAAGTAATAAGAACGTATATGATGTTAGCAAATGTGCCAATAAAGCATATGATCGACGTATTAGCTAAAGCGACATAAAGGTCGCTTAGGTTCAAATTTGTGCGTGGATGCGCCTGTAGAAATTTCCATGATAGGAAAAACGATGCATATAAAGAGCAATCTCTTCTCATCGGTCTCTCCTAATTGCTTTTATTAAAATACCCTACCAGGCAAATTTTCGAAGCAATGCTAAAACAGCGCTAGCGAAATCTATCGTAGGAATAGCAGCTAAGGTCCAGTTTTTTTTTCACCTGAAAAACGCGTTCCATTTTATTGCGGCAACGATCCTAAATTTTACTCTGACCAGTTTCTTCGGCGGCTTTTGGCTACAACGACCTGCGTGTATGTTTCCGGTACATTCTTCTGCTGTTAAAAACTCCACTCTAGACCCGACGTGAAACACACGTCTCTACCAAGTAGAATCAACATCCACCTATAGATTCACAGGAAGCTGTCACCAGATATTAGCGCGCGCGACATAAAATAATAGAACCGTATATGTTAAAGTCAGCGCCTTGGCAAACTTCGACGTGTTCAGTTTGGTGACAAGTCGGTTGCACGTCTTCACACTGCCACGTAATACGGTGGCACTCGGTACCAACGTCGAATTGTGTCTGTTACGACATTGTACCTAGTCTTTCCATTTATGTTAAATAGAGGTATGTATTACTCATCATTAATTGATTTCTATCGGTATTTTTGAATTAAAAATGAACACCCAGGCATATTATCCCATGCAAAATCTTTGGTAAGCTTTGGCAAAATCCAGCATTGGTAAGCTAATTATAACCAAGGATCAACGAAAACTGTGTATAGAGTAGTCCGCACTGATCTCATCGATGCCGAAATTGGCAAACGTTGAATACGAGCTGCATTTTGACGCTCGCGGGCATTTGAAGGCGTTTAGTGCGATATCGAACTGTTCTAGGACGCTACTTGAATCTCTGTAAAGTTAAATGTCATACCCATTAACGGAACCTATAGCGCTCAGCTCGCAAGCAAACCATAAGGGTCTGGTAATGGCCAACCAGTACCCGGGCCGACTTCTTCCGTGTCGCCGTCCGCGAAACGCGGGTGGCGCTTCGGTCTAGATCGAGGCTTAGCTTACTCGATTAACTGGCTTCTTGGCTAAGGCCCACACTCGAACGCGCTCAGTCGGCGCGCTAGTAGAACCCGCTCACCGAGTTACCCTCAAGGCAACTTGCGCATACCTCAGCTGTTACACAAAGGAAAAGGAAATCTGGCCTCTTTTCTCGTCTTTTCTCATCCATGGTTTAAGCGACCTAAGGTTTTCTTTTCTGGGTTTTCGTTTGACCACCCTTTCGTGTTGTTATCGTTCGTCCAGAGGCCATACGACCACAGCTCAGTAGGCAATAGAAACTGACCGCAGGGTTCAAGGTAGGTGGTTAGATAGAAGGGCTAGCGCGAAGACGGAGATAATTTTCCCTGACATAGAAAGATTCTGCAGAAGACATTTTCGATGCGCCAATAATACTGTCGGACGACTCAGCAGTATCGTTGTACCATAGAGTTATTAACGTGAGTTGTACTCCTTCGAGCACGTTGAGTTTGCAGATAGTATTAAACGATGTATTATTACTGCTGTGGTTATGTATGACTTTTCCGTGTGCTTGAGGTGTATCGTTTCGTGAGTGTTTTCAGTGTGTACACCTCAGTGGTGATTCAGATAACAGCTGGGAGAAAACGCAAATGGACCGTGCAATACGCATGGCTAGTAAGATCCAGGGGACTAAGGTCACCTGGAAAAGCTTGTATTTGGGAGCAGTGTCAACTTGAATGAATTTTATAGCGAATGCCCATTATCTTTCTAAAACTTCACATTGATGCTCAATAAATGTGTTTACGGTGACCAAAATAAGGCCTTTCAACGGGTAAACATATTTCAATTAGTTCTGTGTTCAGATTGAGCAAAAAACAGGCAAACCTATATTTTACTATGTTTATGTTATTTAGTTCATTTTTGCATTCGGATGTCTATAGAAATCGGACATAAACTGTAAACGCTATGCCTTCATCGATGTCCCTTAGGTACATTCCCATTTGATTCATTATAACTTCCAACAATTCATCGCTAACAGCATTCTCATTTAAAGTACTTTGTTGATTTTTGTATAAAGTAGAAAAAATTTGATAAATTGCATAAGTAATCCTAAATTACTTTACGAACAATTAAAGTCACATAAAATTTCGAATGACCTGTTTTTGACAAAAGAAGATCTATTCCGGTTGCCGCGACGCCATACGGAACTAGTACGAGGCATGTAACAACCTCGAAGTCGAACGTTCATCTGATTGAGATCTGATTGAATAATCGACCGTCCATAAAGGAACAGAAAAACCTAACAGTAGTACTTATATTGTGCTATAATGGTCCTACGCTTGAGCGCGAATTCATCCACTTTTCAAACGCTCTGGATCTAAGACTTTCTATGTACTCTCCAAAAAATATCGAAGATACTACTAACAGTTATATATTTACTGATGACGATGATTTTTGTTGGAATCTAATAGTCATAACTTTCAGGTAGCCTTCAACATATTATCCGCTGACTTTGGTCACATCTAAAAAATAGGATGACAAATCGTAAAGTAAAGAAAGCAAGTTGGATTGGACTTAGTTATAAACCGCTTAGCCAGTACCGCAACGTAGAGATAATACTAGTCGAATTTCGTGACAGACATTTAATCTAGTGACTAACTTTACTCATCGTCCTGATCCACTTGTAGCTAAATATGTACCCTTCAAATGATACAGATAATCCAAATTTTGAGTATACTATGAGATAAAGGAAGTCAAACGCTATTAATAACTCTTATAAGTGACAAGTGCTCCTAAATGTCCTGTTTAGGCCTGCTGTGCAAAAATGTACCTGTAAATCATGCAGTCAGACCAACCATAAGCAACATAGATGTATGAACTCTAAGATTAATAGTCAATAAGACTTAAGGTAAGTCTAGTTATTTTGAGTCGTAGGTTCTAGGTAAGAATTTCCCTCTATTTTTTTTTCTCATTTGAGGATGAATAAAAGACTAATAGACCAAAAAAAAAAGGGAAATTGTTCGATGTCACTTACTAGTAACTTATCTAATGAGGTGAATCCATTGCGTTCAGTGGTGGCAATGCCTCTTCTCCGCTGTAGCGACTAAACGGCTAGTATCAATATTTGAAATTCGCGGCGTTTACCGATATCGGATCTCTCCAGAATTTGTTTCTAGTTCTTTTTGAAAACACAGACATTCTATATTTTTATCCTGTCCGCCACTGTATCGTGCGAGATTCAAAATATCGTCTACTTTTTTTTATCTATTCGTCAGCTCCCTAGCGGAGCTTACAAGGAACAACTAAAACTCTGATTAATAGTAGCCTTTAATATTTATAAATAACAGAACATATCTATGATCGTAATGTGTAGTTTATCTGCGTTGTTACAAGCAGTGTACAATAGGCTGATTACCGGCTCTTAGCACAAAATCCATTCAAGAAACGTCTGTATATCCAAGAAATCGAGATGTTCATCACTATCGACATAGACAACCACTAATACTAACTGTAATTGGTACATACGCAGAACGAATTACCGCCACGAATGTCACAACGGTTTGCTGTTCGCGACTTAAGTATCCAATTGAAAATAACGGTTGCAATGAAATGTCTGTACTTTGTTCATTTGTTTAGCCGAAGGTCATGATTAACGAGTACGTACACGATCCGATGTCTCCGAATATTTTGGAAGGGCACCTGTCTTTCAAACACTGCGTTACGTCACCGTATTCTTGAAGAAAATCAGGACTGATACATGGGACCATATTTTTCGCTCTAGTTGACGCCGTGATTACAGAAGATAGGGTTCGAGAATAGACTCTTTCTTTAAGATAACATATAGGAAACGACAGCTTCTTACGAACGGGAAATTAACCACGAAACATTTGGAGAAAGCTTGAAAATGAACTGTAAGTACTAAATGTAGATGCTATTTGATTGTTTTTTCCCTTTAGCAGGAACGTTTCTTCTGGGCAAAGATGTCGTCCTTTGCGGCGTCCCTCGCCGCGACAATAGATCCTGTTCGAAGCCAGCTACTGCTGTCGTTAGCGTCATTGTCTATACTCCTCAGCGCGCTTCACCGTAGTCAGGCAATAGATCATGTTAATATCGGTATGCGTAGTATTCGCTCTCTACGTGTAGGCTAAACTGAAGGAATCAAGTTAACTAACACAGTGTTATTTTTAATAATGCTGTAACGTTTTTGCTAACAGAATGCAGTAAACTTTTCTATATCCCAACAAAAACCAAGAGATAACAAATTAATAAGTTATCATTATTTCGATATGAAAGCAAGCGTGAACAAATTTCAACCCGAACGAATTTTTCGACTCTTCTTTGATAGGGAACGCTTATTTGGCCCTTGATGTGTTGGTAAGTCAGAGTCATTGGAGAGTCAAGATGTCACATTTAGAACATGATTGCAGGTGGCAGATAAACACAGGTATTCGCTATACCGTCCCTGAGAAACCTGTTTTTGTTAAGCTGTATGGGCGTGAATCGCGTCGCCGCTCCCTGGCTGTGGCAATTCGTTAACTTCGTGCCATGGTCCTGCGTTTATCTTTCAGGAGGAATCTTTGACCAGGAAGATGAAGGTCTAGCGAATCATTTCACGTTAGCAGTAGACCGAGTGAATCGGGATTTGGGTATGCTCGGCGCTACCAAATTTCAAGCAAAGGTTATGAACCGTAGATAATGTTTGGGTATAGAAAAATATACATGCTTAATAATAGCCATTAAATAGTGGGTCAGTTGGACAAAAAATCTATAGAGACTAAGGTTGCACTGCATGTCTATTGGTGCTCTTTTAAAGTTGACGTCATAATATTCCTAATTGTCATATTCATATTACTGGCAGTAGGCGGGTGTTAGGAGATTCTTTCTTCAGGTAGTAATGGAAAAGATGGATAAAAATACTACAAGCAAAGCTCTAATGAGCATACAAGTCTGGGCGAAACATATAAGTCTGAGATATAGTTGTTGATCATCTAAGATTTCCTACGGTTGGACGGATGTTTGTGTTTCTGCGATGACATGTCGGCATGTTTGGGGTCTATCCGCCACGAGCGGTTAGTAGAAAGATAAGATCGTAATGACTAGTGAAAACCAATTTTAAGAGCCATCGATTATGTATTCAACTGTGTGTACGAGTGTACAGCTGCGGGCTCGCATAGGTTTCTTTCCTTAATTGACGTTCGCACGTTATAGATGTTTCGCGTTACACCAAAGGACAGCTTCGGCGCATCAAAACGCGGTTCGTACTAATTTTACTCAATAAAATGGAGAGCTATACATTTACTGATAATTTAACAATATCTATCATAATGAAACGGAAAAGATAATAAGTGAAATGAAAATGTCACTTGGTTGCGGTTTATGATAATAGAGCAGTTGCATTGATCACTCAACATAAGTCACATATGACGCCTAAGTTTGTCTGGCATAACTTTCGTTAGTCGTTGTTTTATCGTGTTGTTCCCTCAGTGTGTGAACTTGCTCGGCATAAGGTCGCAGCCTTCGTTGGTCCTAGTTCTCCGAGCGTTAAAGAACTAGTGAAGGCGACAGCGTTTAGGTAAATCCGCATCTTTTTATCCGTTACAGTTATCGAGGCAGATTTCGTACTTAACATGCGCTCATTGTACGAAATTTACTACAGCATACGTAGGCGATGATAACAAATACAACAACGAGATCAGTATTAGTCACGACATTTTTGGCTCGCTAAAGTCTCATCACGGGGACGATCCATGCCTCCATTTACTACAACCATTATAGCTAATGCATATAAATATACCAAGTTCATTAACAGTAGCTTTATTATTTTATTTGCGATTATTAATGTGTATCATAAACTAATATTTTATTTACGAATAAATTTTAATCGTGAACGTTTCATAGACTCAACGTTCCGCACGTTTCAACAAGTTGGGAGCTACATGAACGCCAATCACCGTATACGCTCCGGATGTACCCAGAGGCGGACCTGCTTGCGCGGGCTTACAGAGACATCATATCCGAAAAGAAATGGAAGAAATTCGCGATTTTCTACGATTCCGATGATGGTCAGTTGAATCATCACAGCACAACCCAAAAATTTGAATGACAAACATGCAGCCAAACCGTTGGGCTATAGGGAGCTATGAAATGAACAAATCCTATCTTTTATCGGTAAACGGCTGGAGCTTTGTATTTACAGATATATTATTCAGAGTACACTGATCACAAAACACCTTTACGGCCTAAAATAGCCTTTGGAATTTTCCATCTATCCCGTCCATGGCACGCGCTCGTAAATCTTACTGCGACTATTCATATGCGCTGTAAGCTCATTTAGGATCGGCACTCAAGAGTACTTGGGGTTACGATAATCGCGAGTACTACGAGAAGGTACCCTACTAATGCCTACTGAACAAAGCCTTCTAAATCAATCAAGCTTTATTACCGCAATCGCACTTTCCTATTCTACGAAATCAAACGTGCACCATCTTGCGCTTATATGCTGGTAATTCAAATAAGTTCACGTACACAGAGAAGTTTTGGGGGGCGACGACTGCTAAAGTTGGCAGCGTGCTTCGCGCTTATTCGTTACAATAATTTTTACTTTATTCAAATTTTTTTAGCCCCTTTTTCTTTTTATTCATCGATTAGTAGTTTTCAGCTAACCTAAGTTGGAAACTAAGCTGGAAAATCTAAGCACAGAAAAATGAGCTGCCGTAATTATGTTTGGCACTGACAAAATGAAGATTGTAAAATGATTGGCGAAGCTTTTTATGGACTGCTTAATACAAAAAGAGAGGTGCCACCACTCATGTTTCCAATAAATCATTCTTTTCGTCCTAAACGTCATTTTTCAAGAAAGGTTCCGAGACATGAAAGACTGATTATCTAATACGTTGTGTTTGAGGGAGGCCGTTCATTGGCGCGGGATGCTCCATCAACTGATGTAGTCCGTTAAGTGCGATATTTAGTCAATAAACGAAGTGATGCGTCATTGAAGATACATAGCTACGGAAATCATTAACTAAAGTCCCTTGGGTCAGATCACGTCAGCATATGCATCAAAATTTCCTCAAAGTATAGATAAAATACGAGATCCGGTCTCTAAATTAAAGTTACACGTATCAATGCTCTTCGAATGTTATTATATGGTTATTATTATATGGTTGACTTTTTTTCAACTTTACAGTGCTTGTGATGCTGAAATACGTACTCGCGGACGGCTTTAACCAGACAGCGCCTGACGTATTATTATACGAATTTGATCCAGATTTAAGTTACGAGAAGATGCTCAAAGATATCGGAACACGGAACCACTTCAACGTCATCATAGGGCTTCGGCCAGATAGGTGAGTTTGTATATGCAAGAATTTTTTAATCAAACCTTTATAGTTATTATTAAAGCTGATCAGAGATAGTTGTTGAACTCGAACTCTACATACAGGACGCTTATTGGCACCCGAATTTAAGCACAAGTAACGTACTTCTTGTGCGGCTAGCTAAGAACACTCCAAGAGTATACGACAGAAAAGTGTTTTTTAGTTTAGATCTCGCGTTCGGTATAAAATAAGAAGAAAGAATAAGAAATAAAACGAGAGATGCTAGTAGATATGCTAGAAACTTGCTCCGTTGGCAGCAGATCTCGTTGAGCAATAACCTGCCGTGCGATTACCGCTTGCAACTGCATTAAAGTTACCTTACGAGCACTGAGAATCATGAACGGGCCAGATATTTTACCACACATTCGAAGATCTGCAAAACCTGTGTATGTATTTATAAAGCTACAGAGTTCCTCAGCTATAAGGATTTGTTCTAGGAATTAACGAAATGTATTATTAACTGTTGTATTAAGTGTGTAAGCATTAACTGTTGTTTATCTAATTCATGTTTTCCGCGTCTTGCGCATTGTGTCCTCAATCTAGAGTCAAAGAAGCTTTGCTGGCTGCTGAGGGTTCTTATAGCTCGTTTTACCACTCCTATCTGATACTCGGCCTGGTAAGTAGCGGCGAAGTTGTCATATTGTTTTGCAGTTGATTGAGAACATATAACTATAGCCAATACCAGGTTGTCTGAGGATAAACGACATGATAACTTGGACATCAGTTCTGCGTAATTCATAGCAAAAGAGTTTTCTCACAAAAGTTATGAGTGCTCAATGGCCACAGATATATTCTTTGTCCGTAAACATCTGACATAAAGGAATAATTTGCTCGATAAACATTTTTCCATCGTCAAGTCTGTAGGCGAAATATCTTCTATACACATCACGTTTCGTTTTTTCGTTACTTTAGAGCTACTCTTTTCGTCATATCAGCATCACTAACGCAGAACATTGCACGCGTTTCAAGGACTTTCACTCTTACAAAATGGAGGAGGTCGTAATGCAACGCTATTTGGCGAACGTGACGATGTTTCGTCTGGTGGATCCGTCACGGTCGGAATTTCAGGAAGTCAACAATCGACCGAGATCCAACAGTCAGCTACCCACGGATAGCTCAATATTCGGCCATGTCGACGCGCCAAATGTGTGGGCTCCTCCAAGTACTACGCCGCCCGATGACCTAGATGTTGAGCGACTGACGGTAATCTAACAAGAAAAATGACTCATTGTTTATTAATTAATGCTGAATATTTGCTGCGTACTTTGAGTACTTGACCACGTATGGTAACAACCTGTTTTATTTGTAGACAGAGGAAGCCTTAATGTACGATGCCGTATCTCTGATCGCTAACGGTGTACACAACCTTTTGCGGATGAACATTCTCGGCTTTCAACAGTTAGACTGCAATAAAACAAACAGCAACTGGGACTATGGACAGTTGTTCCTCGACCACATGAAAGAGGTGCGAATTATAATCGCTTGAATTGTACACAGAATGTACATTAAATTCGGTTTATTTATCTAACAAATAGTCATTAGAGTATGTAGGTGTTTTTTTGTTGTAAATAGGCAATTCTTTGTGTATGTTCAGCGAAGAAGTCGTCAAACACAATTTGATGGGTTTCCTAATTATTTGAGATGAGCTTTAAACTGGTGGCGTCAATGATTGCTTGAAACAATTTACAGGGCGTATAATGAATGAATCCTTTTTCTTTTTCCATTTGGCAACGTTTAAAAATCTACTTCTATTACCACATCTGTATAGTTGACGATTCGTGGTTTGACGGGCGATGTGCGCCTCGATAAAGAGGGCAAACGCGATATGTTCACATTAGACGTACTCGAATTGAACAAAGGAAGTAAACAGTGGTCATTCCTTAAAAAAAGTTCCTGGGATCCTACGACGGGCATTAATAAGCCGGAAGGTGATGAAGCTGTTCACGACGTAGAGTTCTCCGTCAGCGGAATGATTCTCAAAGTCGTCACTGTGGAGGCAAGTTGCTATGAACCAACGTAAGCAAATGTCGGCTTATTGTGAAAATATCAGGGATAGATAGAGCAATCTATTAAGAATACGTAGCTAGAGTGAGCGACCAATGCTGTCTATAGAAATCTTTTTTTATAAGTCATGCTTAAGCTAAACTGTTGACGGCAAGACGGCGATCCGTAAGGCCGAAAGCACAGCTTAGTCCATCGCAGCGTCTTCGCTGACTGAAGGAATGAGATCACGCCAATGTAGAGATGACACTGTCGCTTATCGTTCGAGTTCTGATATAGTTTTTTTCTAATCATTTGTGAGCCGAGCATACGCACGTAAATATACCATAAAAAGAAATAAACAGAGGGTAGTATTTTGTACAACTGTTGTTTAATGCAAGATACGTTTGCAATTCGTTCCATATTCTTATGCATCCTTTAAAATCCATCGAAAATTGTCACAAAACGATTCGATGATCGTCTCGGGATTAGAACGCACCGTACACTATCATCAATCACTCACTTACTGGTCAAGATCGTTTCTATGGATATGCGATTGATCTGATCAAGATGTTGGCTGAAAAAGCCAACTTTACCCCGGAATTCTACATTGCTCCGGATTCAGCTTACGGTTCGCACATTGGCGGCGGTGTTTGGAACGGAATGATCGGTGACCTCATGAAACACGTGCGTTGATGCCTAATCCCTATAAGGGCTAAAGCTCGATAGAAACTGCATAACATAAACATGACCGATCTAAGATCAATTGTATGTTGTATCTAAGACTTGTTTGTAAATGTGTTAATGACATATGTGTAAGAACCTGTTGTATATATATCATCTGTAATATTAGCTAGACCCTAGGTACGGTGACCTAATAGCGAACACTGTATGTAAAACTAATGCGGGTAAAGTGTCCATTAGAATAGAATTTTTTTTTATTATAATTGTTTAATGTGTTTCTGTCAATGCAGAAGGCTGACATTGCAATCGTAGACCTGACGACAACGGCCGAACGCGAGAGTGTCGTCGACTTTACGACACCGTTCATGAATACTGGAATCTCAATTCTACTTCGAACTCCAGAGATGCAGCCACCATCGTTGTTCTCGTTCTTGCATCCATTCTCACCCCTTGTCTGGTTTTATACGCTGACTGTCTATATTCTGATCACAGTCGCTGTATATGTTTTGGGCCGCTTTACACCGTACGAATGGGTGCCCTCACATCCATGTGATCCCGATTCCGAACCGGAAAATCAGTTCGGAACTATCAGTGACTGTTTTTGGTTTACTATGGGCAGTATTATGCAACAAGGCTCAGATCTTGTTCCCAGGTCAGTTTATGAAATCTATAACTGATATATTGGGAAAGTTTCACCTTAAATAAATTGTATTTTAACTTTATAGCATGGCATTTACGTATATGTACACACGTATAATTTCATTCGATGTTTCGCAAGGCTAAGGGGCCCTTGAAAAGGTAACTGCTATAACCTAAGTTTTTGTATCCTATATTCGAACTATTTTATGTTTTGTAAGCCTACTCCGAGCAATTTATCCATTTTGCGTTGCCGCCATTAGCCAAATAGGCTTAAATTTGTGGAATTCCGTTAAACCTATTATTATAAATGCTGCAGTACATTGTTCTTCTGTTCCACAGGGCTGTCTCTACTCGTACACTGGCTTCGTTATGGTACTTCTTCTGTCTCATCCTGATTTCGTCCTATACGGCTAATCTGGCCGCCTTTCTCACTGCAGCTCGCATGAGTTCACCAATTGAGAACGCAAACGATCTTGCAAAACAAACTGATATTGCGTATGGTGCAAAAGATGGCGGATCCACCAAGAGATTTTTCCAGGTATTAGACTCCATATATATACTGAAACGGATTGACTCAGCTCTGCTTTTGCCTGGTAGGAACTATTGCTCCACAGCCACTTGCTTTACCTGTATAGGGCCATAGATGTGTAGTTATATATTTATATTGAATGGTCATTTACGGTTCGTAAACCGAAACTGAAGCAAATATTTTTCTGCAGTTCAGAGGAGCATCACTTAGCTGAGTATGCGCGGAATGACCTTTTGCAGTAACAAAAGAGTAACAGGATAATTTGATCACTCTAGAACTTCTGCGATTTCTGGAAGAAAAATTATGGCAAATGACTTTGGCATCCTCTATCAAAACACCATTGAAAAATTCTCAAGATACCCAAACTAGTCTAGCGGCTAAAGCTGCGGACTATCCGACGGATAAATTATAATGATATATTAATTAATCCAACGAAGTTGTCTGCATTTTTATCGGATAGCTGGATATGTATGTGGTCTGGCATCGTCACGATGAAGGACGACGCCTCTTCGATTCGGTGGTTTCGATCGATTTTTCTATAGGTTATTGTAATTTCGCTAATTGTTAGCAGTGAAGAGCTAAGGCAATCGACGATAGTAATTCAGGATACCTTTCAAGTTCCACCAAACCCAAAGCATTACCTTGTTTGACGTCGGTATGGACGTTGTCACAGGCTGTAAAGCAATTTTTTATTTGAACATCGTTATTATCAAATGCAACCTCTTTTTCATTTGCCCGTTCTAGAAATAGCTCAAGTTCGAAATTCGATTGAGAACGTTATTTTGGGTCGCTGTATGCGCCACCCAGAGTATGGAGTTTCTTTTGCAGATAGAGGTCTTTGATGGAATTTTTTGGCGGTGTCGGTTTTTTCCACTTTCGTAATAATATCATCCACTTCTAGTCCGCCATTGCGACTGCTTTTCACATTGTAATTTCCAGAACGCGAAAGACCGAAACGCTTTTTAAACCGTTTTTTTCTCCATAACACGACCACACGTTTTCTATAGGCTTATATGCACATATAAAATGTAACGTAATATCATTATAAAATATAAGAAATTTTGTATTTGTGAAATGGTGCTTACATTCAAAGCGCTCTATCTTGGGTCAGAATAAAGACATGCCCGATAATCTTGGTACATTCACTACACCTAAGTCCGAGTTTTCAAACGATACAAGCTCGTATCACCTGAAATAAGTGACATTGACGTTATCGTCACAAAGATCGTCAATTCTTTTTCCATTATCCAATACAAGAAGTAATTGAATAGAAAGAAATAGGGTCCAAGCCCAGACAGGTCGAAATAGCTCTAAAACGCATAACCTGACAGGCACATTATAAATTTTTCATATATCGCATATATTTATATCATAAGACATAGATGGTACATTCAAATTATAGAAGAGTTTGACAGACCAATCGTTGTAACGGTTCTCCACTACACCTGGTACCGTACGAATCAGATAGACTCGTCGCAGCGATTGTAAAACAATTTAAGTAAGAACCAGCTATTATCGGCAAAAGTGTCAGCGACACTAGAAACTCTTTCTGTTTCCCAAAATAGAGTATGTACGTTATTGCTAGTTTTCATGCGGCTCCTAAAAACAACTAAACAGCCATTTTTATATGCCTACATTTCTAGACAGAAATCGACGGGCATTTTGAAGGGAAACCTCACCAATTAGCTTTTTTGAAACTTGCTACTTTATTTTGTATTTATCGGACTTGTTGGCAGCTTTGGAAGCCGTGGCTTATCCTCTGTCCAAAACCTGATTCCGCTATGATGGAAAAATATGTAGCATCCTCAAAGCAAACTTCAACAATTTTATACCTACCGATATTGCTTGACATATTGTTGCTATCAAAAATTATTTTCAGATGAATGAAGAAGAAATATTTTGAATATGACTAGTGAGCGGTTTGGGTTTTAAACTGAAGGTGCAGGCACAGTTGATGGCGGTTACGTCGAACAAAAATGGCGTTCAGGGGTGACACTTCTAGCATACGCAACAAATGTTATTCGCCAAAAAATCTATTCAATATAACCACCATTCACCGCGATTGCATCCTCAGTCGGAGCCCTAGCTCTTCACTAGTCATTTCCAAATATCTCTTTGATCAGCTTGTAATTTTTGAATACCGTTAATCAAGAGATATCAGTAGGTGTCAATCGTAGAAGTGTCGTCCGAAAAATTCCGGCCAAAAAAAATTTTGGAACCGTAATACGCCTTAAAAAAGCTAACCATTGGGCTTATCTGGACGACCTAATGGGCAATTAATATTGCCCACTTAAAAAAGCCATAAATTTCTTCACCAAAAATCCAAGCCTATCAAAAATCGCCCGCCAAAGCTTTTCCTAATATATCCTAGGGATGCGGAGCAGAACAATTAATAAATTAAACGTACATTCTGCCGTGGCTCATTGTTGACTTTTGCTATCACTCGTCATCAAATATCAACAGAACAGCAACAACACTGTCTACAAGCGCATGTGGGCGTACATGGAGTCCCAAAAGCCGTCCGTCTTTCCAAAGACAAACGAAGAAGGTATACAACGGGTGTTAAAAGGCGACTATGCATATTTGATGGAGGTGACATCCATTGATTATCTTGTTGAAAGGAATTGTAATCTGACAAAAATCGGAGGCCTACTGGACAACAAGGGCTATGGTATTGCCACACCCCAGGGTAAGTAATGCCACAAACAATGACGCTGAATGGATACATACATTCAAAAGGCGAACATCTAAACGAAATAAAGCTATAAAATTTTGCGAAAGAGTTGTTTGAGCTCAATGATAAATTGCTCAGAGTAAACTCTCACTGTCTTACTCTAAATTAGATAGAAAGATTAGCATGATACACACTTAGTGCTACCATGGACAGGGAAGTAAAGCCAATTTGTAAGGCTATAAACATCATTTTGAAAAAACACTGACGGAATTGTAGCGCCTGTCAACTCACGCATAGTCCTTAAGGATTAAGTCACCAAACCATCATTTTTTTATAGAGACAACTTGCATTTATAAAGAAATATTAATTTTTATGTAGACACTCAATTTTCTGTCTCTCTGTAATTTATGAATATTAATTTAAACGGAGCTAACATTCTAATCCATTTACATCAAAGGTTTCCTTTTTTTTTTATAACAGGATCTCAAGTACGTGGCATTCTGGAGCATCATTTGATCATCATGCAAGAGAAAGGTGTTCTACAAGAGCTTAAGGACCTTTGGTGGAAAATCCCTGGCGAACCTTGCGACAGAGTTAAAGATGATTCTGCTGAGATGAGTATGGAATCCCTCGGAGGTGTTTTCTATACGCTGTACGGTGGCGTTTTAATAGGCGTCTTTGTCGCACTTATTGAGTTTTGGTGGGAAAAGTCCCAAGCTCCCTACGGCGAGAGAGTAAGCTTGAATAGAAAACGTTATATGTTACATGGCCTTATCGAATTAGATATGTACTTAAATCCTAAATGCTAGTTTAGAAGGACTGATTTTAGTGGTATTGAAATTTCGGTTCTAGCCTGCCATTGTTGTCACGCGTCTGATTCGATGTGCTGCTGACTCAGATATGTTGGTTATAAGGTACAGTTTAATTATATGTATTTTGTTCCAGGACCACATCTTAGTCGAGTTTCTTCGCGAGCTGAAGTTAGTGTTGACATGCACTGGTTCACGGCCAAACCCTGAAAGCGCAGATAATTCGATAGCCGACGACGCTGCCTCGAGAAGATCGGGTCATTCAAGGCAGGCGAGCCAGGTGTTCGCTACGTTAAATACCTAAACTATTAACTTGCTGAAAAAAAGTTGAACTCAATTTAAAAAGTGCTACCCCTAAAAATGAAAAGAAAACGATAGGTGAAATAAATATAAAGTGTTCAGAACATGATTTATACATTTTACCGGAATTTTGCTCATGTTCAGATAGAGGAAATTATGATGCAGGTCGACGTCATCGTCTCCACAACCACCTACATGATAGTAACGATAGCTCACGTACTTCAAGTTTAGCGCTACATTATTGAGGTGTTCCGATACGATAAACCAAATAGCGACTATCAAGTGGCTCTTGAAGATGGTTTGTGTTATTAACTTTTGTTGTTAATTTAAAATTACATAACATAACTTTATAAACATTTATATTTATTAAAACACCGCTAATGCGAATGCATTCATTGCTATCCATCTCCTGCCAGTTAACATTGGAAACTACGATGTAATACAGAGAGTGTGCAAGTATTACGGCGATAACTTTAAAATAACAAATTTAAACCAGGACGCACAAATATGTTGTCGACTTCAATAGACTTACGTCAAGCTGCTAATAATAATAATAAAACTACAAGCTCTATTTTCTACACGAATGAGCTGCTGTGCTATCAATTGCTTTCTAGTTTTCGAGTTAGGCTAGAGTCAGTGTTTTTTTGAGTGAATTTGAAGCCGGTCAACACCAACAGATCTGCTGTCTTTCTACCATAGTTTATAAAATTATTCCATTTAAAAATAACAGCATAATCTTATCTTGCGTTAGGTTGAAAACACAAAATGATCTGTATGATTGTTTCATAAAAATTTTATTAGGTTACTTAGCGTTCTTTGCTTAGTTATTATCAGGCCCGTGTTCATGGTCGCTATTACGGTGATGATGATATTCTCGGAAAAGATGAATTTAAAATATGTTGTAAATAAAAAGTACCGCAGTATCCACGCTGATTAAACGTAACCAGCTCGTATTAAATCGAAAACTTGATGAACCTAAATTGGCCGCCTTACCTATCTCGGCACCTGGTCAGCCAGTACAAATACAAATACAATATACAACATAATACATCGCTAGCTGTCGCTTCACGACAAAGAAAAAAGGTACATTCGGGATATTGATACTGAGATTTTTACTAACTTTACACTCGCACAAAAACTTTTTCGCATACCATGCGAAAACTATTGCTACTTTCAAAGCAAGTCAACTGAGCTAACAGAAGGAAATTATTTAAAATTTTTTGCCATATGACAGCTATGGGATATATATGAATATCCCCTTAAATAGTGTTATGAATATATATATATATATATATATATATATATATATATATATATATATATATATATAGAGAGAGAGAGAGAGAGGGAGGGAGGCAGTAGCTGAAAGTGACTTTGCACAATTTATACTGCTAGTTTTTTGTGACAAATTCCTACTTTTCACCTATGTTATCGTCGACTCGCATACGTAACTGCAGGCTAACCTAAAATAGGCCAACAATGAAAACATCTTTATATCCTTCCCCAAAATGTTTCATTTTGTTTACACGATTTCAGTTCCTAAATCAAAATAGGTACAGATTACCAATAAAGAACTGACGTAGAGTGGCACATGACCACCTCTAGAATTTTCAACAGTAATTCAAAAATTGTGAGATCTTTATTGTGAATATGTTACTTGATATACAGTCCTGAATCTTTCTTCTTTCCTCATGTGGACTCCAAAAAAGAATAGCGAATCATGCTTGATAAATGTGTCACGAACTCGGCATAGGTCATATTAGAGTTTCTATATATATATATATATATAATATGACGCAACTAATTAGACTAGCACTCGCTTATAAGCAAAACCCGAATTTCGCCTGGCATTAATTTATACGTACTGCGTAGCACGTTTAACGAAACGGCTCAATAGGATCGTGTTATCACTATATAACAATATGGTTGGGAAATAAAAATTTATAGGCTACTTTAGCTTACGAATAAGACTTTTAAGTAGCGACGCTTACCTTGGTATCATTCGGACTCATTTTAACTAACGTGATTGTCAGCTGCAGGCTACCAGCTTACACTAAATAATTTAGCTTTACTATTTCGAACCCAACGGTTACCTCCACTTCGTTACTACTGCAGCGGTACCACCGGGAACACTCATCTAATAGATAGCTTATCAAATCATTAGTTTGCATTTACTGGCCTTTCAAAGAAATGAAGAATTACAATTAGGAACGAAGTTTTGATTGTCCGGACTCTACCCAAAAATACTATTTAATAAAAAAACTTTTATATAAACGGTCTGGTAGATATAGGCTAAGTTTTCTATATTAGAACGATTCTAGGGTTCGTAAATTCCTATATACTAAAAATCAAATATGAGAAACCAAGATTATAGAAAACCTTTTGACTTACGGGAAAATATTTAGGTCAAAATATGGCCATATGGCCAACATGTATTGCTAGTTCGGGACCATCTCTTAGCCAACTCATAGTTTACGTAACTTTCACGGATATCCAAAGTTACGAAAACCCATTCGATACGTATCAAATGCCAATGTGCAACTGTACTGAAGGAGTGCATCTTATCTGCAATACAGATTGAAGACAATGGGGCAAACCGTTACGTTAGGGTTCATTGGATGCAAACTTGAGCAGACCCTGTAAGAATGGATACTGGAAAGTAGAGTATAATAAATGAGTACACTTATGTGACAATGATGCGTGCCTGTAATCAAAATTATAAGCGAAGGTTGTGCTACTAGGAATTTTAGCTTAATCAAAAATAAATATCACGTCACCTACGTTCGTACATAGTAATATGATAATGTAATTGCGGCGAAATACTGACTAGACGTTCAAACCGTGGCGCAACTCTGTACAAGACTAAAGATTAACTAACTTTCCATTGCATGTTTCAATGATGTCAGTAAAAATAAGAAAATATTAAATAAACATTCCAGACCATCTCAGATAGTAATTTTATCGTACTCTTTTTCCTTTAAATCACCACTCTCGATGTACTGAAGCATACAACGGACTGCCCGAGTCAATGTTGCATCTGAATTGCTCGCATCTGAGTAACGACTAGCCGAGAGAAGGTTATGCTCATCAGCCAGAAAAAGGGCACCTGTCGCCGCATCAAGGCAAAGGCTAATTGGCTGTCTACCTGTTATGTCAATAGATTTCAGTACGAGATTCTGTTTAAAGAGAAACATACAGAGTATTCGTGATCTAAGTAACGTATCTATGTGAGATGAAGTAAATTTGCATCTATTGTCATAATACCCGAACTGAAAATTTAGTCATTTTTTCAACAAGGGTAGAAAATTGGACGGACAAGGCAGCAGTAAGAGGTCGAAGAATTTTCGACTTTGATGATTTCGTCTCGGCAGTTCGTGCTTGCGCAAACTCGCCAATGCGCACTAGAATACTGTATAAAATAAGGTTATTCTAGTTGATCCGCTCGAAGCAGAATTTTTTTTTTTCGTAAAATATCACTTGAACAGGTGGAATAAGCTTTTTAGCTGGTGTTTGAAAAAGTCAATCTTGCCGATTTATATTTGGCCAAACGCGTACATTTATCGCAGGGAGTTTAAATCGAGATTGCCCATATGGAAATGGAACTGCATAAGCCTCTTTTTTTATCAAGTGTGTATCACCCTCAGGCCAGTAGTACCGACGCTGGTGGCTGAAGTGTGTGTACGTATTTTTTTGTCACCATTTGAGATGTTTATATTTAGTGCAGTATGACTTCTTCAGTGCTTGTTACACTCACGCGTAACTTGTTTAATTCTGTTAGGGCTAAGGTGAGTCGTGTTTGATAAGTATTTTATTTAAGTGTTTAGTGGAAAATGCTGTTAGAAATTCTCATGTTGTTCTTTTGAAATTTGCAGCGATCTGGTTTGATTATTCAACAACCCCACTGGAAGCGATTTATCCAGCTGTAAGATTAATCTTTCAGCTTTCCACGGGTGTACCCTAGAAAGTCTGATTTAGGTGGATACTTATGTTGTGCTCGTCGAGACTACCGTAGGCAAACTGCCAAGCTGTTTCGCCGAATAATAAGGTCCATTAGTAGCAGATGCATCTCTTTCATGGTATGCCTTGGGTAATATCTGTAATAGTTTGTAATGTTTCTAATACAGGTATTCCGTAATACCTCTAGCAGTTTTCGAAACGTTGGGAAGAAGGCTTCACATGCCAGCAAATACCATGTCAAATACCAGATACGTCCACAATTTTTTCGGTTGCCAAAGGAATCGATTTCCGCATTTGTGCATGAAATTTCAGCAGTAATACTCTCACATGCTTTGACTAAGTTCATCCCAGATTTAGTAGGACCTCTAAGTGTTAGTTTGATACACTATCCTGGAAACTCCTAACCTTTCTTGGAGCTTATTTATTGGGGGTTAACAACCATGTAACGTGGTTTTTCCCGTTTAAAACCAGCACTCTTGTGTAAGTCTATGACTGAACACGCAAAAGTTTTCTCAAACGTCCTTTCGCCGATTCATTTGATGCAGGTGTCGTATCTGTATTGATCCATGAGCACGCCATCTATATTGTATCGTAAATGCTGTCGGTGATATGGTGTCTCTCCGGGGGGAGGGGGGAGGGGGGAGAGGGGTATGCCATGGTAAATAAGACATGCTTTTCAGGTTTTAGTATTTACCTTAAAGTATTGCTTGTTTTCATCATGATATCATTGGCTGATGCACAGAGCTACCTCTAAAAATTTAATTTTTTAAGCCTTACCAGAAGCCGCCTTTTCCAAAACTGTTAGAAACCAACTGCTGATATACCACTTTTCTAGACTTTCCTGAATTTGCGACTGTAGACAAAGTGTAGACTTTATATATGTCCTAGTCCTATCCAAAGCCAAATTATCCCTCATATAGAATTCTCTTTATTTCTAAAGCATGGTTAATTGCTCTACTATCAGATCGGAAACTTTACGTATGACGTTTAAGTTAGTCTGTTTAAGTTAGTCTATTTCGTAAGGGATCTTTCAGGCTATTATTAGGCTTCCGATGCAACTTGTCCCTAGTGCTAACCTGTAAAAAGGCTCTTCTGCTGAAAAGAAATCATTAACTCCGTCTACATCCTTTCTATTGTAACTATCACCGTCAAAATGCGATGACAGAATTCTCCATCTTTGTTTTTTCTTTTGAATTTGTACCTATTATATAAATCTTCTGTCTTACGTATGATTTCCTTTCTCCTGTCTCAGAACCACTTATTTTATAGAAATACTCGTTATTTTCTTTTGCAAACATTACTTAAGTCTTGTACATTTTATCCTTTCTGGCATTTCCGTAGTCGGCCGCTTCCTACCCAACTATTACGTCTTAGATTCAACATATGATCCGATATAACTCTGAAATTGATTACCTCGCGTCTGCATGACGGCATATGCTCGAGGTCAATTGATACATCACCTTCTCCACTGGTTGCTTTTTTTTATGCGACTCGTCCCGACCTATTCAAGTCCATCATCTGCCAGCACCTTTACGTCTTCATCCGTCTTAGGTTGGATCTAAGAAATACCAATATAAGCGTTTGTAAGGCATAGCCTATCAGACTGAGACTTCGAGCTCGGATTAGAATTTTTCTGAAGTAACCTTTTAAAACGTCATCGATATGGTGGGAGAGCTATAGGCTTCCGTAATTTATAGCCATGTAGAGTTTAACCAGCATTTACTGTACAAGCCTTCATGTTGTTCGTATGTGTTCCCATCTGGTAGAATACAACCGTGCTATTCAGTCATAGAGCCACCAGCTGATATGTTTATCTCTGAAAATAGTTTTTGTATCTGTTTATGTCTCTCTCGGTCATGCGTGTACATATTCTTGCATCTGGTTTCGTGTTACTCGAAAAGGAACACTGCTTCTTGCAAATTGCTTCTTAACGGGGTCAATCGTACAACCGTAGCATTACTACCAGCACGATCGAAAGTAACCGGCTAAAGAATCAGTGTCCATATATTGGTTCAATGCCAACTGCACTTTGTAGTTTACTACTGGGACACTTGATCAGGAGTTGATTTTGCAGCCTGTAAATTATAGTGCCAGGTCTCCTTTAACGTTTGATATATTTTTATACGATTAAAAAGAAATATAATTATCTTGTTACAGAGACTAACATCTAACCAGGCTAACCAATGGAGCCTATTATTATGTACATTGAGTAAAATGTACGCAAAATTGTGAACCACCCAAACACGAAGTCTAACGTGTTGTCTTCATTTGCTTTTTATGGATTCGGCTTGCTTAATAATCATTTACAGCTCGTAGTCATTTCCTAAAAACACAGGACTGTTTTCAGGCTCCGTTCAATTTAACCTTAGTCCTTTCAATAAGCATTCGAACGAGGAACTTTGGCTAATACTTGACCATGCCCTAAGCGAGCTTGTTGTATAGCACATATAGGACGGTTTGTTTCCGTTTAATATAGTACTTCAAAAAGATATATACATGATTGAGCGACTAGTATCTTTTTCGGGATGTAATCAATTAAGAACAATAATTGAACATAGAATTAACTCTTAAAAATATGTGTTGGAAAATAATGTTGGAGGTATGAAGTGCAACTGAAGTACGAAAAGAATACCGCAGAGAACTTCTGGCATATCCACCCACGCAGTTCACAATTAGTCAGACTAAGGGAATTGTACGGGATATTTAAAGGCAACGTTCCAAAAAACTACAAACATTAGCGATTTTACTACTACTACTACTACTACTACTACTACTACTACTACGAAAAGTTATAGCAAAAAAATCGCAAACACTTGTAAGACAATCAAGTCATGAACTCGGCACCAGCAAATCAAGTGTCTTACAAAGTTGTAAATGAAAAAGTTACATTTTGACAATCGTACATGCTATTAGTGGAGATCATCTGGACTAGAGCAAACTATTTTATGAATAATATTTAAAAGAAAAATGTAAACAATTTAAGAAAATAATTGTTTGCGAAAATAATAGCGACGAGACTACATTTAAATTAAATATATTAATTAAAAATTTTTAAAAAAAGCAGTTCATCGACATAATTTTACTTACTGTGCAACTCTAAGTCTACACATTACGATAGAACACAATATAAATTTACCAATTGGAATTGACAGTATGGTGCGGCATTTCGAGCAAAGAATTACTTGGATATTTCTTTCTGGCAGTCCAGTGACTGCTGCAAGTTACTCCAACTTCCGTCAAGAATCTGTTGTACTACGCGTTCAGCAGGACTTAAATGAATAACATTTTTCCGCCACGGTACAGCCTTACGAAATAGATTAGTTGGTAATGTATTTGGCTCGTAATCTTAGGGACACATTGTGGACTACGTTTGAAGTTAGGTGTTGACGCACTTCTTTTCATGCTGATAGCCAGCGATTTTACGGAATGCCTAACGGCGATACCAACTCTACTACGTGAAACATTGCATGGAGCACCTGCGCACTGTCATCGCAATATGAGAGCGTATCCTTATGATAGTCTTCTAAACAAATGGGTCAGGCGAAAAGATTACTCAAACTGGTTTGCCGCTTCCCAGACCCGACTTCAGTGAACTTCTTATTATGGGAGTACCACAAATATAAGATATACGCTAGAAAACGAACAACACTGGATTTATAGGTAGCAATTGGGCAAGAATGCACCGCAATACTAAAAATGATTTTCTTGAAGTTTATGTTACAATAGCTCACTATTATCAACAAAATATTGACCAGAAATGTAATAATTTGAATATCTGTGATACGAAAAAAAAAAAAATATTTTTTGTAGGGTCTTTCACGATTCAAATAATACTTTAATGTAAAACAAAGCTGTTCTTTGGGTTGCCGTATATATTGGGCCGTATGATACAACTAGGCTTCATACAACATTAAGCTTTAGAAAACAATAAAAAAGAAAGATTCAATGAGTGCACAGTTTTCACGATCGCCCCAGTGCGTCGATCCAAGTATTTGCCCAGTCATAGTGTATGCACTGGTGATTTCCACCTCCGAAAATGAAGTTATCAAATATCGGACCGAAGCATAGCCCATCTAAAGCGCAGATAATTATTTTCAATCGTTAGAGAGGAATCCTCTAAATTCTCACTAGACGTTCTTTCCTTGTCTCTTTTTTGAATTTTATAACATTGCTCTCTTGGACTCAGATGAGCTTCATAAGCCTCTTGCACTTAAAAAGTACTAACTACCCATCATCATTGCACATAGCGACTGTTCACCAAATCAAACCATCAAGATTCTACCGAAAAAACTAATACAATCATAATTTATGATAAACGTAGAGGCGGACGAAAATTATTATGCTGGTAATGATACTAAGCAATTTAGAAATAAATACAAGATACAACACCTCTTTCGTTTTGGCCTCCTTTTATTTATTACTCCGCTTTTATACTTCCACGATTATCACGCCTGCTGTTATAGTCCGCCAACATTCAGCATGTCATATCTTTTTCATTCTTGTATAATAAAGTACATATATAACGTACCTTATTATCTTTCCTACCTAAACAATATAAACAATAATATTGTAATAGTTATTATATGAATTCTTTTCAGTTCTTAGCGTGTTCTTTAGCGCGTATTTTGAAGTAACTATGTTTTGTTTATCTGAAAACTAATAGTCTATTTATTTCTATATTTACAGTAAAAAGCATTGTATACATACGCCGCTCAGACTCTTATCATATCCACGTAGATAGTATGAAATCCATGAATATGGTTGAATATAATCAGCAAAACTATTTTTTTTCTAAAAATTTTACTGCCTGTCCCAGTTCTCCATATCGTAATGGCGTATTATTCCAAACTACGTTTCTTACTGTTGAGCACCATCGCGTGCAGCAATAAAAAAGATTTTTTAAGCAATCTGAGCGTATGTATACGAAAATCACATATTTGAAAATTAGAACAGATGAAATTTAAAGGTTGTATGAAAAAAAATTTAGCCATTTCACTCTGGAACACGACAGCATCGTTTGCTGGAAAAAATATTTTGTTTTCTTAACACTAAATCGAACTAGCTTAATGCCTATTTTTGAAAACGTTTCAACCTGTCAAAGCACTTTCAGCAATTACTCAAACTATGCATTTCATTTTTCAGTCTACAAAATACCACCATTACACGAACGAACTTACCAAGCTAATGTGAAAACCGTTTTACCGACATAATTTGTCTACATTGATTTATTGTCACCTCAATGCCATCCGTCTTTGCTAGCGAACATACTGTATTATCCGCGTTTCACATACAGCTTCATCATGTTCGTATGGAATCAAGCTAACTAACGGTATACGCTTCATTCTGTTTAAAACATGATGCTTCTATATCCTTCTGTAACATCATCCACATCATTTCGTCAAGATCAAACGCTGCTTATTTTGTTGCTACTAGAGATTCCTTTTTAGAATCGCCATAGCAAAAACAACAGTAAAACAAAAATCAATAATTTGAAAAGGTAATTAGATGCATAGTAAACAGTAACGATGTTATGATCTTCTGCAATTCCCTACAAAATTGGAGAATAGCGGTACGTCACTTAAAAGCAAAAACCTCTAATTACCTTGGTTGACATTCTCCTTTTTTTACATTAAAATTTATGCTTCCTCTTCCTGTGTTATGGCCCCTAGATCAGAGCTCTGTGTGCTGTTGTGAATCAATCAAATCTGGCTTTCCATTCAAATTGGCCGGTTGTTGCTGTTGTTGTTGTCGGCCATCGTACACAAGCGTCGCCTCACCGCTGTCCTGTGTAGTACTTTCTTTATAGCCACTTCCTTTCTCCTTTTCATATTCTTCAATCATTTTCTTAAGTTCCTCGTCGTACGAGGTCCATTCTGGTACGATCCGAGCTGCAGCCGCAAGCTTTGGCTCTTTCGTTTTAGGGTTGTTGCACTAAGGGGATAATTTATCAAGCCTGATTACTTTCATTTATCCATTTGCAACTTTTTGTCGAAGCACTTCCATCTCTTAAAAAAATTTATCATAAGTAAGAAGAAAACATATTAAAGGAAGCCAGCTCTGTTGTTGTCATGCATGTACCAGGCAAGACAAGCTATATGCCCACAAAGCGAATCGATGCTGCTCAGCAAAACATGGACGATTTACTACACTCACCAAATCGATAGTCTTAGCGTGTGGTTTGGATTCATCGGAGCACCACGTCTCACACCAAAGCCACTCCTGTGGTAGTGATTTTATTGCCACCTGGTGTATCATGTTGTTTGGTAGATCTTGATCAAGATTCGATAGCGAGTTAGGATCCTGCGAGAGACCCTGATACTGACCTCGCAGACGGTCACCAGCAGCGATCCTACGGAACTTCTTCAGATCCACGACATAAAGCGCGCTGTGCAAAAACAACGGAGGTTTGACTACAATAGCAAAATTCTTTCAGAAATTCGGGCTTTTTGCAATCTTCCGTGTTTTAAAGGTGAAAAATAAATCTGTCAGTCGCTAGCAGTTTATACCTGATATGGTATTTCCGATTTCCAAGATGTTGTGACCAGTACCCTCGCTTCCAGAAACGGAAGCCTTCCATATCTTCTCGGCTGTCACAGAACGGTGTGTACCCGTACGGTGCTCCACCGAGATCAAGATCGCGGAGTTCCTTCATATCAGTACGGACCTATCGAAGCAATAAACGTGAGTTTGTGGTAAATGTGCTTGCAATAAAGCATAACCAACAACCAGTAACGGTTTAATATAAAAAAATCGCACGTGTAGATGAAGTTTATTAAACCCTGCATGATACTACAGCAAAAATTTGGAACTGTGGTAAAGTATGCATTTCCGATAGCTAATGATCTCAGTTAAGCGAAACTGCATGAAACGTAACTTGTGTCTAGACAGCTACCAGCGATCTAGCATAACATTAGGTAATTAATGAAAATATTCTTTTCATAAAAAACATTCAAATTATGTAATACATTCTTAACATTGGATTAAACGGGCGTCACAAACTTGAGATAATTATGAATAACTCTATTCGATAAGTTACAACAACAACGGTTACTCACAATTTGATCGGCATCCACAAAGATAATTTTCTTCACACTAAGTGGGAACAATACATCCAGGAACAAAATCTTGTAGCCCCAAATGATCCTAAATCGATATTAAGAAAGCAATTAATTGGATACTGTGTAAGTTAAGTGAATACATGGTCTTTAAAGCTAAATATTTCTGCAATGTCTGAATATTCTTCAACTAGCCGAGGGATTCAACCTACTAAAAAAACTTAAAACTGAAAAAGTACACAAATTCAAATGAATCGTAAAAATATGAACTATAAAATTCGTGGCAAACAGAAAGGATATTCATTTTGTGAATATAAAGATCCAAACCTCTGCTTCTCAGTTTGTTGGTTAAGCCACCGGGGCCATTTGTATTCAACAAGCTGGTACTCGAATCCGTAACGACGGGCGTAATACGGTAGAACATCTTTCATTGAAGGCGAAAGGTAGTTTTTGAGGAACCAAAACTTGACTTTACTATTCGTATTCTTCAATACTGACAGCATCATAATTCTCAATAGACGCTCGTAGAGGTGACCTGTAGCTACGGAAAATATGTTGATAACATCATCCTCTGCATCTTTCTCCTTATCGGCACCTTCGCCAGTTTTGCCGCCTCCCAACGAACTGCAACAGCGCAAAAGATATTAACACGTTAAGAACAAACTAGCTTTACGCTATAAATTATTCACAAGTTTCAATCGGTTATAGCCTCCCTGTAGTCGTTTGTTAAAAAGTATTGGTTTCATTTGCAAGCAAAAGTCTGTAATTTACAAGGTATGCTACTCCCCAGAAAAGAAGTTTCAAGAAGTACTTACACTCAAAATTCTATCAACAACTCTCTAGAGCTGTCGCGAAAAGGTTTTTGCACGTAATCATATGATGCAAAGCACCCAAGTCAGAATACCTAAAATCCTTTCTGCTGTCTTCACAAATAGTCAAACCAAATTAATCTGACATGAATTATTTTACATGAACTTTAATGCCTTGTTGCGTTTGGCTTTATATGTATCATTCAAGCATCGAATTATTTGATGGCTTGTGTTTAATGAAATGCGTGATAACTAAAAAATAGCTTAACAATTAGAAAACTTCATATCGCCGCAGGTTCACGCAATACGGACTAAGCGATAAATGACAAATTTTAGATTCGTTATACTATGCTAATAGCGAAGCTCAGACATGTGTCCCTTCACCTGATAAATTCAGTCCAATTCTAATGTTATTCTTATAGAAAACTGTATTGCAAAAACGGGAACTAAAAAAAAATGTCTGATACTTATTTACGCAATGATAGACAAGCTCAGTTCACTCTACCGTTATATAATTGCGTATATAATTTTCAGCCACGAAGCAAGGCAAATCTTAATATAATAAAAGCAACCCTATTAAGACAAGATAAGTGTGTGAGCCTAGCATTGTGCAACAACTGCATATTAGTGTGCATAGTAGTTAGTGTCAATCAATTTTAATTGCAAAATATTTCGTTGCATAAGTTTCTATATAAATATTACGCAACGCGAGCCGTACATGCAGCGTCATCTATTGTATAAAAAGCTGATTGATCAATACAACCGCTTGATTAGATTGACAGATTAAACTAGCTATAATGGTAAGATACATCAACCGAATATTAACCAGAAAGTGTCGTGAAATGCAAACTTGAAGTGCATTCAACATAGAGATAACGTATTATTTATGATAAGTGATGTAGTAATATAAATAATTCACTAACGTTCACAGTTCTCTTTAAAACTCAATGAAATAGTCCCTACTGAAAATCGATTAACACCATTCTACTCTGCGTCGTATAAATAGTCCCGGAATCTAGCAAGCATCACTTGCAGCGATGTATGGTCGCCAACTCAGTGTTCTAGACCGCATTCGTTCTCAGTAAACTAAAACCCTATGTTGCCAACACATTCCGCTATGCATGTTTTCTTGATCGTGTCCGATCTGTCCTGTTGCCCTAACTAATTTCCATAATGTCTTCTTGAGCTTACGTACAGGACCAATGCAAAACACCCTAGCACAACGACACGCGCCGATCACCTTGCACAAACGTACATATTGCTATACTTGAGTCACTCTACCTCTGAGCTGTCCACCAATCTTTGATCACGTTCCAGTTATGTCGCCATTCCTCAACGATTCCACCGATCACCGGGATGCTAAATGACCACCACCAAAAAACCACCATCAGCGGCATGGCCAAAAAAATGTTCGAAGGAAAATACTCCACAAGGTGATAACGAAACAGAGCTTTCTGCATATAATTATATGCAATTATCTATTAAAATCACAATAACTTTCGGTAAAGTCACAAATGTCTGCACGTTATATAGGATAAAGAGAAGTTACGTTGAATCTATATAAGTTGGGTGACACGCGAAAGACTGGCGTTGGCTTCCAGATGTTAGTTCCCCGATACTGTGTGTCATGTCATTGGAGTCTGTCGTCCTCTGTCACGGTTTTCCTTGGAACATTCTAAGTTACTACATTTCTTAACACGAAAAACGTGCAGCGAAGATTTGGAGCATTAATGCTTGCAGTTCAAATGAGATGATATTATCACTTATCACCACGACGTGAACAGCTTGACCCCCGATAGTAATCCCGCTGAGACATTAAAGCTCAAGCTAATAATTTTAGCATACGATTGGTGAGCAATTTAATGCTAGATGTCTAAAATCTGAATTTGCTGTTTCGATGTTAAAGAAAAAATAGAGTCGAAGGAAGCCACTAGACGGTAGGGCTACTCAACCATTTGCCAACAGAAGAAGGATTACGTCACCGCTTCATATTTAGAACGAATACTTAAAACAGACCAATCAATAATTAGTAAAAAAACATTCATGAACATGAATTCCTTTCCATGCTCTTAGTTGTACTCACATGTCTCATGCATTGCATACCTTGTAATTGAATTCCAGATTCCGTCATCTTGCGAATCATCATCCACAAGAAGTTCTTCATGCTCTTTGCCAGGGCGTTTTGCAACACGAACCTTCAGGACCTGTACCATGGGCAAAAAATATTCTTCCTTAGTCAATTACTTGAGACAAATTGAAGCAAACATATGCTAGCGGTAAGTTAAACTAACCAAAGATCTAAGGTACTTTAATTAGCATTTACCATTTCCATAACACCCATTCATGTTTTCATATTAAAAAACCTTAGTTGCTTTTTATATACAGCAATGGTATGAGAACAAAGTTTCAGAATATTATTTGTTTGTTAAGAAAATTATTTTTTATCTGGCAGTTTCTTGACAAGCATACTCTTTGACGCTACGTTCTTTCCAGCCTACCTTTGAACGAAAGTTTGTAACAAGAACGGCAATATCGTCGCCACTCTTTTCGGTGTTTTCTGTTGAAGCGACATCGTACAGCTCGCTGCTTCTGCCATCACGAATGCGAAGAAACCACGTTCCCGGATTGGCTTTAAGTTGGAAGTAGCCCTATTATACGTTACCAAAAACATGAACGAACATCTCAATAGTCACCTCAAACTGTCGCTCGACATTTTGAACAAATATGGATGCGGCGTAAAATTAAATTCACACGTACCAGGTTAGCCATGACGATCGTATCATACATAACAGGGTTCGCGGGAGACCCAAGAGTGAATTCGAGGCCGCGTGGAGGCGATCCTGAGCTTTGTTCAAAGCAGTGACCTTCAACCAGGAGATGCTCCAATTCGAATTCGGCTACCACACGACTTTCAACATCGGCCATTCGAATATTATCCAAATCGTAAATTGAACTGGATAACATCAAGGGAAAGAACAATTATATTCACTATGAAATGGCGTGATCAACTATATATATA